TTTGACCTCATTACATTTTTTCCAAATATCTTCTATACTTTTACGCATGCAGTCACTATACCTTTTGCGCTCACACACCCAATAAATTTGGTCTTTTCTTCCTCATTACATTTTGTCTATTAATTCCACAGACATATTGCTCACACATACAAAAGATATTTCGTACGTATACTTCTATCATAATTGTTAACATTATTCGTTAATAATCTTTACATTCATTCGAAAAAATACTTCCTTCTTTCATTGTTGGAAAGACATTAATTCTCAAGCATACGTGAAGCATGTCAATGACAACGTGCTCATATGTTGTTGCCGGTTGTCTCCATCCATGAAACATTTTGCTGATAATATACTCGTATTTATTAGAGTTTCTTCCATGAAACAAGTCTCGGGCTGCTGAAGAGCGCCAGTGCAGAGGCAGGAGGATATCTGAGAAGAAGGGCAAGCGGACCGCGTTGTCTCTGTCCATAGCGCCGGACCTCTGACATTAAGGATTGTGGTGGGGGCAGCGGTGGCTGGGTCGAGGGCTCGTACAAAACATTAAGAAATGCCTGCTGGGCTTGAAGCGAATCGTTTGTTACATGGTAGCTCTAGCTGCTGGGTTTGTTGCAAGGAGTTTGTTGGGTTGTGGCACTGGGTTTGCGGCGTAAATATTCATGTATGGTGGTTCTCGTACAGAGGTTGTGAATAATTTTTTGGGTTTTAGATCTTGTGCTGGGTTTGAGAAGAATTATTTGCGTGGTGGCCCTCGTGTAAGCCGTTTAGCTAAGAAGTCGTAATGTCGCACTAGCTGCTTCATTTTTTAGGAAGAAATTGAAGTGTTTTACTGCTGCGTATGTGGTGAAGAATTTGTTGTGTTGTGCTGCTGCGTGTGTGGCGAAGAATTTGTTGTGTCGTGCTGCTGCGTGTGTGGTGAAGAATTTGTTGTGTTGTGCTGCTGCGTGTGTGGCGAAGAATTTGTTGTGTTTTACTGCTGCGTTTTGATGAATGAATTTGCTGTGTTGTGCTGTTGTAATGTGGTACAATTTCTTAATTTTTGTGGCAGGCAAAGCTGGAAAAGTCACGCGTGGTCATCTACATGCAGTATCCTCCAATAATTTCGCTATACCAAAGCTGGTCGCAAACGAAGGTAATTCTGTGACCGTCAGGTGCCTGGCGCGACAATGCGCGAGATTTTTCTCCGGTCCTTTGTATTATGGCACTGAGACTACGCTCCTCCCTTCAGCGTATTGTAAGGGAAAACACGTGCGGAATTTCAAACATTATGTTTTATGTAAAGGGCGATTTTTCCAAAAGTTTTATTTGTCATTGTACATTTGTTTATTGCCGTGATAGCTGAGAAAATACGGAAGTTAGATTGCGGATGTGTGCATTGATAGATTGTGTGAAGCCTGATTAGATGAAAGCCTCCAGCTTAGTCTTACTCTGTTAAACGAAGAAGCCAAGCTAGGAATATTGTTTAACCCGTAAATTAAAGGTCCGGCCAACACGTGCATTGTTGAAAAAATTGAAAGATTTTAGCAATAAAGTAATTTTAAGTGATGACTATCCGATCATATAGACCAAGTTGCTGTGTTGATTTATTTACTTCATGGCTGAATGTAAATTCACCCAGTGTAAAATCCTGTAGCAGGAATGATGAACCGAGTTTTATGTTTCTCGTGTGGTTTTAAAGTAGTGAAAAACCTCAAGTTATTCGGTGTGATATAGTTAGCTAAGAAAATGTGAACCTATTCCAACATTGCTTCCTACTGAAAAAATTGTCATTCAACATCACAATTTATTGTTGCAAGATTTGTTCAGGAGTATCGTGAAAATAATGCACTCAACTCGTTTAGCAATGAAAGATATGTCACACGATGTCTAGAAAGATGAATCACGACAAGTCTCGGATTGGAACAAGGAAAAATCTCCACTTTTTCCTAGAGATAGCGACTTTATTTTTAAGTGCAATAAACGTTTTTTCCGCGATTCACTCGCCTTCAGACATCCCGTAGTCTAGTCTATCTAATTTCATATCCATTTCTAACAAAATTGATCTCTGACTCACATTATTTGGACCTCTATAATTTAACTTATATGCTTCTACTGCTATTTTGTCACTACTCTTTTACTGCTGCAAGCCTCATGTTCCTCAGGCCACTGTCACAGCTTGTCTTTCGTTTTTCCAACAGTCACATTACCCATTATTTGTACCTCTATAATTTAACTTAAATACTTCTACTGCTATTTTGTTATTACTCTTTTTCTGCTTCAAGCCTCATGTTCCTCAGGCCACTGTCACAGCTTGTCTCTCGTTTTTCCAACAGGCGAGTGACAGGAGTTGCTGCCAGCTGGGCGGAGGAACATCATTACCTCGACTTCTCGTCTTCATTTATCGCCACCTAATTGACAAGACTGGCTTAACTTGTGGAGCGCGTGTCCCCCTAACTTGCAAGTACTTGTCCTGACTGCAAGAGGAGACCAATGCAAGTCCTCCAAGTGTTCTTGTGATGAGAGGAGTGTTGAAAAATTTTTCCTGTTTAAGAGCATCCGTTCTGCAGATACTGAAGAGGTTACAAGTACTAGCCGGACAATTTCTGACCTACGAAGAGGTTACAAGCAGTTATTTGGTTAATGCAATTTTATGAAGAATGCTTGAAGCATAGCGTGAATTTATTTGAATAAGCATCGTCTTGCGTCTCAGACACTAACGGTTCACAAGACAGACGTTATTCTATAGTCTACACAATTTGTTACCATGCCAGCAAATAAAACTCAATATCATGAAAAATTTTAAAATTTCGGATTGGGTTGGATTCTAGTCCGAACTTCAAGTATGCTGTTATTGCCATGAACGATTTTTGTGGTTCGAAGAAAAAGGACGAAAAGAAAGTTAATTCAGTTTAATTCTAATTTTGTTCAATCCTTGCGAGTTCAAACGTGTAAAACTTTTCAAAGACGAAAAATGTAAAAAAAAGAGGCGCATGAGATGGACTAAAGACTTCCAACCAATTATGTGTAATGAGCATTCGGCCTGCAGCGGTTCATGTCAGTTGCGAAATTCATGGAAGCGCTATTAGGCTAGCATAAATATATTTCCGATAATTTTATCGTGAAGTACATGAAAAGAGTTCCTTCGGAGCAATTAACTGTTTTGTTCGAATAATTTTTTGTCACTATGAGTTTTTTGTTGGCGGAAAGTGTCATCGTTTCAAAGTGGTTTTAGGATTTCCGGTGATGATTATTAACGTCATTTATTTAGAGACTGAAACACACAACACAGACATTCAATAGAAAATCAAGTATTGGTATATTCTGTACATTTTCGTGCAATAATGTAGTTAGAATTTTTGATTGCATACTTGTGTCAGCATGATACCAACTTGGGTGGTGATTGATAAGCAAAGTCAATCATTGTGTGGTGTTGGACTCGGAGAAAAGAGGATATTGCTCACGCATGACCTTTGTGGAATTGAAAAATATTGAAAAAAACGCAGTTAATATTTTTAACGCCCGAGAAACAATTGGTAGGGTTAATGTCCAAATGCGCAGATTGATACACAGGCCATCACTGAAGAATTTTGATAAAACGAGCATTTGACAACTGTTTACGAAAATTTAATTTTACTCCTCCTTACATTTTACGAATTTTATTTACATTTACATTTTATTTACTACTGATCTTACTTAAATCTTATACAATTTTCTCGATTTTTGTGTAAAATTAAAGTATTTTAAAAAGTTTAATTTAAAGTTTGTCGTCATTCACAGTGTGTCTTTTCCAAGGAGGTCGTTAGGTTTCATTCAATTTTGCAGTTTGGCATCACAGTTAAAAATGAAAAAGGGTTATTATCAGAATTTAAGTTATTTTAGTGAGCTGTTTTTATTTTAATAGATTCAATGGATTGGTTGAGTGAAGATTCTGTCCAAGTGGAATCTGCACGATAATATAGCATTGATGAAAATGATTGCTACTGCAAGCCCGTTAAATTAATTATATTCAGTCAATTAGGTCATAAATACTTCTAATTATACATATGATAAGTTTGATTAAGTCTCAAATTATCAAAAGAATTAGATGAAAAAAAAAACCAGTAAATTGCTAGTCTGAATACGCTGTTAAATGACTCAAGATCGTCCTACAAACTCAAAGCACGCCCGATTACGAAGCAAAGTTTCTTCTTAAGTCTGAGTAGTTTTGAGATTTTGCCCTAAGACTTAAGTTTATAACTTGGAGTTCAGACTTAATACCCTTCATAGAACTCTTGGGAGCGCTCATTCACAAGTAATACAAAGAGTTCTGGTCTAGCCTGGGGAAGGCTAGAACTCGTCTACTAGCTACCCCTGGGTAATTGTTAGCGCATTTTCTCATTTATGGAAAAAAGGCGCTTTTGAGCTAGTCATGTCCGTCCGTCTGTCTGTCCGTTCGTGAAAATGACCACAAAATGATATGTCCGTCCGTGGTCCGTGACTTCACGTTTTCGTCGACGAGAAAATGCGCGCTGTCACTCGCTGCAGTGAGTACCGAGTTATATTTTTCACACACTACATGCAGAGTTCGGAGTAACTTACTGGCTGTCTTGTCAGTTAATTACCATTAATCTACGAAAAATGATTAATGAACGATGTATCATTTAAAAGCGAACAATAATTAAGCTATTCACAACTCATAACCTGATTCGGCGGTATAAAACATTAAGTATGAATAATGCCTATTTTGCACGGGCTTCCAACATGATAGTCTGAGAGATTAGATCCTATAAAAATCTTTTTAAATGGTAGGATGTTCATGTATGAGCGCACAAGTGATGTTGATAGGTTTATTGCATCGTGATGCTAACATCACTCCCCTTACATCGCGCCAAATTACATTTGTTCTCAGAAATTTACTTGGATTATAACGCTATAGGGTTGATATTACTTCTAAGATTACAAAGTTTTCACTAATTCTATTTGTATGATATAATATGAATTTTATGTCTCCTTTCATGTATTTTTCTTCTCTTTTCAGACTCTATTTGAATGATTTAATACCTGCTCCATTATTTTTTATTTTGAGTTTTTTCTTCTTTAGGTTCTAACCATCAATCTCTAAAATTCAAACAAGACCACAAAATTTCTCTGGCCCTTCATTAGTTTAAACGATTCTGGTCAAGCGTTCAAAGCACCCGATGATATATTATTGTTAAGGATATTTGGCGAAACGTGTGCCTTATGTCGTGAGATCCAAGTTTCTTCGGAGCCTAGCCAATGGCTCCTTGTAGTTGAAGTTCGGAACGGTGTGGTGCAGTCCAGGAGTGGTGCCCCCTGTGTGGTGCCTTGTTTGTGGTGTAAACCGTGTGGTGAAGTCCAACAAACCACAGCATGACGCGTTACTTCGACTTCGTCTGGCGCCGGGAGGTACACCCAGAATTGCTTAAGGGGGCTGTCTTCGAGAGATGGATTGAGGTGGGTTTGATTTTACGCTAGCTGTTGAGTGCGGAAATAACACTATAATAGCACTATCACCGCCGCCACTATGACACTATACGATGAATATATTTATACGTTAGCTATTGTCTGTGGGTGATGATTGGTGTTATATACTAATAAATGGCATTATAATTGTTTTTATAATTTTTTTGTACTAGAAATATGGTTTAAATTGTTTTTTAGCGGATTTTCATCAACGTAAAGCTTTTCAGAACAGTTCTACTAAATTTAATTTTTACAACGCTTCTCTTTGACTTTACTTCTTGTTGTTTGTTTGTTTGTCTGCTACAAATCTTATAATCGATATTTAACACACTTTTACCTGTCCAATCGATCTGAAATTTTGCACACTTGCGTAAAGTTGGGAGACAATGCATGAATCAATTGACAGAATAAATAGTTTTGGAAAAAATTTTTTTTTTTTTCCAAAATTTTTAACCTTTTTTTTTTAATAATTGAAAATAAAATTAGAAATTCATTGGACTTGTGTAACATCGGATCCCCTGGATTCTTTAGAAGTGTTGTCTTTTAAAAGTAATTTTTAAACGCTTATTATTTATCTAATAAATACAATTTAACGACAGAATACCGTTGAATAATAGAACTGAATCCAACCATTGAATTGATACCCTAATGGCAGATAATATATATATTTCGATTGGATTTTCGACTTTCCGAGCTGTGATATTACAGTAACGGCACTCGTACAATATTCCCATGATAATATATCTCGATTAAACCTATGACTTCGCAAGATTTGAATTTACACAAGCGGCATTCTGATTATTGTATCTCAAGGAATATATTTTGGTTAATCCTATGCCGATGACTTTGCAGAAATGTGATTTTAATTTGGCGGTTATCTAATAATTGTTCGGTCCATGACAGGACAAAGAGACGAGTGAAGTGGAGCCAGGCTGCCTCTTCCTGTTTAAACGTTATTCCGTGTTCATGTGTCCGTTGGTTCTCTCCTTTCCGGCTCATGTAATCCGTTCAGAGTATTTTTTTCCTGCTTATTAATCTTGACATCTCTTGACTCAATTATTATTTACGTTAACATCCTCGACAATATCGTCGTTACATTCGAGTCTCAGTTGTCTCTCGGAATAAGATCGTCGCGCTTCTATCGCGGGTTACGGCAAGACGACTCTGATACATAACGATTCAAGATTGTTATTTTTCTCAAGAAGGAAAAACTATGTTTTTCGAATACATGTCCCCGGATTGCTATTTTGACGGATATCTCGTGTGTGATCGTTAAAGTGATGGATGATCCTCTATATGATCACTAGCGGTCAGCGATGAGCATTGGTAGTGATCCGGTCTGCGCTTGCTTGGTTTAAGCCTATTTTTTTCTGTTTGTGTGACAAAAATATTCTCTGACAACGGTGTGAGAATATTTCTAGTAATAGAAAATTTCTTACTGTGTCCTTGCACTTAATTGGATTTGAGATTGAGATTACTTTTAAGTTGGATTTAAGATTGAGAGTACTTTTCTGTTTGGATTAATTTTGCATAAATAAGGCTTCAGTTGATATGTTTTGCTCAATGAGCGATCCTTTCAATTGCATTCAGAGCGATTGTGTTTAACCATTAACGTGGCACGAATGTCAAGATTAATTTGCCTCGACATACAGCGAGGCTTGCTTTGCTAATCCCTTCGTATCGAATGCTTGCTTCTCTAATCGTGGACTCAGATCCAACGTATTGCGTTCTAAATAGGCTGCAGTGCTACAATAGTGTTGTTTGATTTTTTGCAGTTTTTAATTATTACAGTACAGGCATTTTCAATATTGTGCCTGCATGGTAGACGTAATTTTGGATAATTATTGTCTCCTTATAGCTTCATGTTCAATCATCAACTTCTTTCAGTATAAAAAATTGTGTCGCTCGGTCAACATTGAAAAACATGTACTTTCTTTATTGAAGTTTTTTATTCAACTTTATTACCGCTTGCTTACATTAAAGCAATTTTCGCTCATATTGTGAAATTCGAAATTCCAGTGTCGGTATGTTTGGCTTCGAGTTCAAGTTATGAGGCTGCAGGTACAAGTGAATATTTGAAAATTACATTGGTTTTTAATAAGGAAGTAGCAAATCGAACTGTTTCAAAGTAAAATGACCAATATGCTTCTTCAAAAGCGGCGGCCTATGTTGTGAGAAAATGTACGACGTATAGAGAGATTCTTCAGTTTACTTCATTGCTCGTTCAGTTTTATAACGCTCTTCGATCACTTCACTGTTCACACACGTGAACACAGTAGTTTCATGAAGGTTCTATAGTGAAATGACCGACAGGCCAACAAATTCATATTGAATCCTGCAGTAATACTTTGCCTCGGCAATAGTGGAATCTCGGCGTGTATCATGAATAAATGCTAATTTTTGCATCTATTTACGACGCGCCTGAAAAGTTCACAGAGTCCGTGGAAAAGATTTCATTATTTATTTACCGCTGTTTGACATAATCCCAGTTTTATTTCTTCTGATCGAATGGCGTAAAGTTTCAAAAGCGTCGGCCAAGCAACATCTCATTTTCCAGGACTCTGAAGAATAATAGACGTGAGTGGTCGAGGTGTGAGTTCAATTTAGCCGCGTCACTTGGTACGGCTTGAACGATGAGGCACACACCACATTATGCTAATTTGATGGCTACACGTAGCTTGCTAGCTCAGCTCCATTGCAACTGCTATTTGTTTCGCTGGTACGAGTCTCTGTCGTGAAAACGAGACAGCATTTGTCACTTTATGCTCTGCAACTGAGATGTGTTTCAGTGGTACGAGTCTCTGTCGTGAAATTTTCTGTGGTACGAGTCTCTGTCGTGAAAACGAGACGGAATTTGTCACTTTTTATGCTCTGCAACTGATATGTGTTTCTGTGGTACGAGTCTCTGCCGTTAAAACGAGACAGTGACACTTTGTTTCGGTGGAATGAGTCTCTGTCGTGAAAACGATACGGAATTTGCCAGAAATGACTTTGCTACTTCACGCTAAAGAGCATGATGAGTAAATTGAATAAATGTTTTCGGGATTTGTGTCCTTATTTTGGAGTTGTGATGCTCCATCTCAATACAAATATTGTATATTGAGTGTTCACACTGGGCTGTGTATTACTATTGTAATACGACAGTTTGGGAAATCCACCGTAAAGCAGATTGGACTGGTATGTATATGCAGGAATTTAGCGAAGTAATTTACCTTAATTGTTTACATTTGTTCAGGTATTCGTCGTGCCGCTGAGATTTTGATCTGAATTTTGGTCACTGTGATCTGGTAGTATGACAATAATTATTTTCAAAACAATTGTTATTCTTCTATGTGAGAATGCTGAGCCAGGAACTCAATATAAAATTCGCCTGGCTCATCAAGTTTATGCCTTGATGCAGTGCTTTTTTGAGCTAAAAATGTATTGCTTCTATATATTGCTGACAGAAAAATTTAAATGCCCGTAACATGGCCAAAGTGCTATCAAAATTATCGGCATGCAGTAATAAATGTTTAAATTCAATCGCACACATTCCTTCTTAGAATGCAAAAATTTTGTGTCTATTTGTGAAATCAAATGTATATCATTTTTTCGAACTGTTGCGCTGTATTTTGTATAATATAGATGTACATTATATAATTATATTTTCTCTTTACTAACTTTCTGTTGCTTGTCAATCGTGTAAAATTAATGCTTGCCAGTTATACGTTAATTCTTACGGCATTAATGACGTTTAAAATAAATAAACAAATAAGTAAATAAGTTATACGGGAACAGTGATTATTAATTGGTCTCACCTCCAACTTTTGCTATCATGAAATTGTGCTCGCACATTGAAATAAATACGAACGTTGTTAGTTTTCAAAACGACATTCCAACTAAGGACTCAGCGTCGCTTTCAACAAAGCAGGTTGAATTATTGACAATTTAGTCGTTATCGATCTCTGGTGAACTATGGCAAAGCTGCATACCATTTTAAATAACATGACATTGCAATCCTTGTCGGCTCTAAACGGAGCTTTTTTATTTTTGGTTCTTTTATTTACTTTGTTTTTAGAATCCCGTAATCAAATTATTCTTAGCAGGATTGATCACGACGTATATTCATTAATTGTCAGTGCATGCTTTATCGCCTGCAGTTATCCAGATGCCCGTTGCTAGTTATTATTTTACAGTTACAAATTACGTTTTTTAGCGCCTTCATGTTTAATTAATTTCATCGTACTAGGCACTGCATTCATGGTCCTGCATATTTTGTTGCTGTGCCGTCCAGACATTACTTGCATTCCCAAGCTAGACCGCCGGCTGTAAGATCCTGATTGCAGATCACGTTCACGGGGCGGTGCTCTAGCTCATGGTTCCGAGGGCTTGCCGTTATTTCCCATTTATCTTTGCCTTTATTCCTCATTTATTTTTGCCTTTATTCCTCATTTATTTTGGCGTTTCTTGCTCAGGAAGGCAACGTGTTGGAGCTCTCGCAAGTCTCTGACATCAGGAAAGGACAGCTCCCTAAGGTAAGGCCTTAGTTCTCCCGCATATTTATGGCTTCTTGGTTCACACTGTAAAAAGGTAGAAAATGGCCAGTGAGTTGGCGGAGTTAGCGCCTGCTCACAAGGTTTTATTTTATGGCTTCTATCATTTCTGCAATACTTTTTGGTATGACTATAGAAAATTGTTAGTTTTTTCGCACTTGGAAAAAGTGTTCAGAAAAGTTGAAAAATTTTCGAGCATATATATAATATCATGGAACAGACTAAAAGATTACTTAAATCTTCCTCTCATTTGTTAACTCACTTTTAAAGGGGTCAACTTACTTGTATTAATTTATTTTTATTCTTCAGTCGTGAATTTTAAAGATTAATAATTAAACACACGATTTACTGCTATCTTCGCGTATTTCTTAATGTCCTCCGCCATGACACACGTGATCTTTTTTTTTCTTACTCCGTGTCTGTATGCGGTAACTCCTTCGTCGCTCGTAGTTCTGTTTTTATTTATTGTGATGATTTTATCTATACTCTGTGGCTGATGTCTTGATTAAGCTTTGATTAAGGCTTGTTGGCCTGTCGCTGATTTTCAACCCTTGGCTACCGTGCCGATTTCAATCAGAATTTTCACAGCTTGTTGCGGGTTTCGAACCCATTGCTCGCTGCTACATCTTGGAAATCTCAACTATACTCAGTCATAAAGCGCTGTGTCCTTTCATTTTGTCTCGAGTTCTCGAGTCGAAATGCCCAGAACTTTGTTACGAATTGTATGAAATGCGCCCAGTCTTTCTACTAAGATTGTTTAATTTCATCACTGTTAAATTGCGCCCTGATTCATCGTCAGTGATTTGTGTATTGCACTTTAAAAGCCCTCATTTATTGGCTGACGGAATTACGAACTAATTTTAAAAAGTACATACGGCCCCTCATAACAAGAGTTACCGCTTGTAGACAGACAGTTAACGGATAATTTTGACGTATTACAAATCATTGCACATAATGTCAATTCTTCATTTATGCTCGCAACTATTATGTTTAATGTCCCTCTTTAATGGTCAGGATTCCAAACTTGCCGACCGCTTGATCACCAAACATGGCAAGAACGTAGAGGAGAAAATGTTGGCCATTTGCTCGGGTCTGGACTACGTCAACGTCAACCTAACAAACATTATCTGCAAGGACGTCGAAGAGGCTCAGGTGATAGAATAGAATAGAATAGAAGTGTCGGCACTGAAGAAATAGGCCCATTGCCTGTTGCCGATTCTTGTACTTTTCGTGACTTGATTCACGAGGGATCCGGCCTTTGTAACCCGATCTTTCCATAACTTACGATTGATTGAGATAGCTGCTGGATTTATTGTCTGGTCCGTAAGGTGCTAGGCATTTTAAGACTGAAAGGTGATGGTCATTTCGATTCATGTAAATAGGAGAGCTATTTGGAAACTTATTCCTACCTCAGAAATTACCAATTGGTAGCTAGCTACTTAGGTGATGTCAAATGTTTCGATTGTCTTGCAGTGTGAAGAACTATATGTTAATCAAGTCACAGAACTATCTTCCTACAACTTCATGTCAACGATCTGTGGTGCTACCGCTACTAGCATCGAAATATAACGGGCACACTTTTGCATTGTACTAGAGAATTGTGTAGTTTTTGGCGATAGTAAAAAAAATGTCATTGTGTTTAGGAGATTTTTTACAATATCAGTCTAATTTTTTTCGCTTAATATGTTGCTATAGTGTTAGTTTTTCAACTCTTTTTACAACACATCGGTCCCTCCTGAATTTTTTTCGTGCATATTCTAACAGGAAAAAAGTATGTAGATAAATTTTCTCTTAATATGAAGATAACTTTCGAAGGGTCCTTAATTTAATTCTAACAGGTCTTTACTTTCAGTGCAAAGTAAATAAAAATATCTGGAATTTTTTGGGGAAATGATAAAGACAAATTTCCAAAAGTTAAATGATAAAGAAAAGGAAATGATATATTTTAATCGATGTCCTAATAAATAAAAAGCATTGCACTATCTTGGAAGAGAAGGAAGTCAGTTCCAGTGACTGCTACAAATCGATGGTTAAAGCACTTGCAAGGGAGATCAAAGTCTATAGTAATAATCGCATTGACTACTGAATGCCGCACACCGAAATGCTCAGGAAACTCTCTTCGTTGCAGAAGCTTTAATTAAAAGCGCTGAAATGATTGTTCTACGTTATCATAGATACGGAACCATAAATTTCCTCTATATAGGCCTCCATGAAGAAAGTTACAATGGGCAGCTTACTTGCCCATCTTCTTTAATGCGTCCTATAGTCGTCCCTGGAGTGTGCTGACATGTCACACTCTGAGAAGGAAAGAGACTCTCATTGTTTCTTTGTAGGATGGTTATTTCGTTATTATTTTTAGCAATATTGGCGTGGAACTACCCGGACATATATGCAAGCAAATTGAACATGATCTGAAAAATAAATCCGTTCTAAGTGTATCTTATTGCATGATATTATTTTTCCCATGCATGCACTGTCCGGTTGCATTGGCCGAAAGCGCTCTCGAGAGGAAACTGGAATTGAATATATTTAATTCAGTCCGTCTTAAGGTTCAAATTTATTTGTTTTAATGTTCGCGAGATGGTTCATTGATGGGTTAAGCACCAATTACGTTTTCACAACGTAATTTTTTTTAAGGGGCCTTTCGGGAGGTGCACTTTGTGGCAGATTTTTACCTGCACTCGCAAAATTTTGCTGTTATGGTAGCGATGCTTCTGTTTGGCTTTGGCAATTCATATGAGGATGAAACATATTTTAACTGAGCGCTTTGCACATCATTTAGACGTGCGTCCGAATTTTTATATAGGTATATTTGCGGTCTTCTACGGAGGATGCATGAGTCGCAATTCTCATTTTATTTCCGTCGCATTAACTTGCAATTTTATTCGATTCACCATGCTATTTTAAGCGAATTTACTGCTTTAGTGTATCTCTTGGCCCCAATTCTGTCGTTTGGACGTGCATTGGATTTCGTCATCGGAGTCTGGCGCGCTCGTAAAGTCCTTCTCTCTGGTTTAGTGACGGCCTATGGCGCCGATCAAACCTAATGACCTCACATGTGCCTACGCCACAACCCAGGATGACTTTCCCAGTCTGGCTGGCCTACAATACTGCGTACGATTGCGTTATAGTGTCGTAGCTTGCGTAGAGTTGCGCCATAGCGTTTTAGCCTGCGCACGAAGGCGTTATATAGCGTCGTAGCTTGCGTACAGTTTCGCCACAGCGTCGTAGCTTGCGTACAGTTTCGCCACAGCGTCGTAGCTTGCGTACAGTTGCGTTAAAGCGTCGTAGCTTGCGTACAGTTGCGTTAAAGCTCCGCAGCTTGCGTACAGTTTCGCCATAGTGTTGTCCCCTTGTATTTCTACACTCCCCTTGTATTTCTACACTCTTCTTGTATATCTACACTCCCCTTGTATTTCTACACTCTTCTTGTATTGCTACACTCCCCTTATATTTCTACACTCTTCCTGTATTTCTACACTCTTCTTGTATTTCTATACTCTTCTTTTAGTTCTACACTCTTCTTGTATTTATACGCTCCCCTTGTATTTCTATACTCTTCTTGTATTTCTACACTCCCCTTGTATTTCTACACTCTTTCTTGTATTTCTACACTCCCCTTGTATTTCTACACTCTTCTTGTATTTATACACTCCCCTTGTATTTCTACACTCCCCTTGTATTTCTACACTCTTCTTGTATTTCTATACTCTTCTTTTAGTTCTACACTCCCCTTGTATTTCTACACTCCCCTTGTATTTCGACACTCCCCTTGTATTTCGACACTCCCCTTGTATTTCTACACTCTTCTTGTATTTCTTCACTCCCCTTGTATTTCTACAGTCTTCTTGTATTTCTACACTCCCCTTGTATTTCTACACTCCCCTTGTATTTCTACACTCCTCTTGTATCGCTACACCTGCGCTCTACGGCCGCTCGCGCTCTCTTCATTAGTGATGTTTATACCGAAATTCTACCCCACGCGAGTTAGAGTGCGCAAGTCCTAATGCATGCCTAATGCTGCCTACATTATCCCCAGCATACGAAGTTAGCGCTTTCATCTTTCTAGTGCGCCCTTAATCCTGCCCTTAATACGCCGACCTCTGTAGAAACTCCTTACCGACAAGGATAAGTTTCGCCTACATGCGGACACAAACAGTTAATTAGGATTAATAAAAGTTAAAGTTAATCCTATTAGTATAAGACTAATTTGTAATGATCGATAACTGTTTCCTTGATAAACGCAGCGGATTGCTATGTCTATAGGTGGCAGCTCGAGATTATTCTCAGTATCGAGAATTAATTCTATCAGGATGATGCTCAAATTTTGTGAAAAATGCAATGAAGCTGTCAGCCAATCTGCAATTTTATTTGAGGTTCAAAATGCATTAGGAGTTCAGTTCGGTGCATTTCCTATGAAAAGCTTGGTAGCAACTGTCGTTTTTACACGCAGCCGTTCGTTATCTGCACGCAGCCGTTCGTTATCTGCACGCAGCCGTTCGTTATCTGCACGCAGGCGTTCGTGATCTTCACGCACGGCTCATAAAACATGTTAATAGAATAACCTAAATAGCAATGCTGGTGACATCCAAAATAAAATTTAGAGCACCACAGCCCTTGATTTAAGAGATCAGAAGCTGGGGCGGCTCTCAATTTTCTTTGTTATCTTATATAGGCCGCTGCATGGCGCCTAAGTCACCATCATTATTACCCTGCATCACTGATAAGCCTGACCAAGCTACTTCACAAAGGCAGCGCGCAGTTAATTAAGGATGTGCCTTGCGCTCGCTGCTTACGCATAAAGCTTCTGGTAATATTTTAAGTTTTTTTTACAGCAAGAGGGAAAGGGTGGCGGACTTTTCTTTCAAGGCCTTGCCTCTGGATTTAGGAGGCTTATTTCTCGAAACGAAATCAGAATTTTCGCGAAGAAACGTGGCTTTATTTGTCATGTGCTGAGATTTTACTTGATTACGCGTATCTTAGAAAAACTAAATCACATCACTCGTTTCGTTTAGTTTATGTATGCCTACGCATTCTTTATTCTACACTATTTATATATTTTTATTGTGTTCAGTCAGTATGATCTTTTCGTTTCTACTAGTCGTAAACTCTCGTCTAGTCGATCAAAAACATGATAATTTTTAACGCGTTTTTCCTTACTCAGCTTCGCGTTTTTCACTATCTTATTTCTACTTTCAAATATTACTTTCTTGTATTATTGATTCACTTCTCGGATTTCCTCTTAATTTCCTCAAATTACTCACTGTTGATGTAGGCTTTAATTTTTAATATCTTGAATTAATGATCACCTGAATCCAACAGTCCGTAAAGACATTTTCATATGTAATTACGTATTTAATATGTCTGTTTTCGTTTGAACTTTTCACCTGGTTTCATATGCCTACCGTGTACTACAATATATATAGATACGATGCACTTGCACTTATCTATTTTATCTAGGATATATTCGAGTGAGTTTTTGCATTTGCATGTCCTCCTCTACAGCCTGAAACGTGTTTCGCTTTCACCGCTTATCAGTCAGCTGATAATTAATGACATTAATTCAGCTGACTGACATTAATTCAGCTGATTTATGGTTCCTACGACCTTTTTCTTTGCCATTAAAGATTTTCATCATTTATGCACCCGTTTTGTTGAATAATTCTTAGCTTAAAATATGTAAGTGTGGCTGGATATTTAATTTCATGCATGTCGGGGTGTGTTGTTTTTGCATGCTTTCTCTATGGTCATGACGAGGTGGTGCTGCAGAGGTGGCAAAACTACCTGCGCGTCATCACTAACAACAACAAAGTGCCTAACCTCTGTCCCACCACGAACCTTCGTAAACAGTAAGCTAACCTAACCACTCTTGAGTAAAGTCTCAGTCATGAAATGGTTCCTGAACAACATAAAATGGTTCCTGAACAACAACAAAGTACCCAACCTCTGTCCCACTACGAACCTTCGTAAACAGTAAACTAATATAACTACTCTTGAGCAAAGTCTCAGTCATCAAATAGTTCAACAACAACAACATAAAATGGTTCCTGAACAACAACAAAGTGCCTAACCTCTGTCACACTACGAACCTTCGTAAACAGTAAGCTAACCTAACCACTCTTGAGCCGGTGGGTCTCCAAAATCCACGAGCTGGGTTATCTTCGCGACAATACCTTCAGCCAAACAGGAATTCTTTCAATCCTTGAAAGGAGTATAGTTCATAATAATGTTATCCCGCCACCATATATTATTGTATGAATAATGTTAGTCGTCATTACGCATATACATACAGTAAGCGCCGCTCGCATATTGTGCACTGGGCCCAAATCAGCCTATAGCCTATTACTGTTCGATGATTGACTCCAGAATTCAGCTAGGAATAACATTAGGGAAAGGCTGAATTCTTTCGCATTGCAAGAGCTACTCTAATGAATTAGGTATATCAGATAAATAAGAGCAGTCTGCTTGTATTCATATAAGATATTCCATATGTTTAGTAATGTGATTTTCTAGTTTACAAGCCCTTATGCTCACCTTAATCGCAGAATTCTATCATAGCAAACTAACAATTTTAAATACATTCCGATACAAGTATTGCCAAGTTTAAATCCTCTCAGCGTCACTAATGCCCAACAATATCATAAACGCTAACTCATTGTTATCGAAAACTCATTTAATTGTAATCATCATCTTGCCTGTGATGACCAATAAAACGAAAGCTTATAACCACTTTTAATTGGCAGTTGGATGAGGCTCGGCATGACCGTGGATGCCTCTGGCATGATTCCGGTCCGGAACATCGTCCGTACTTTTGCGTCCGGCAAGACGGAGAAGCTCGTCTTCCAGTCATTGTCTGATCTCGGGCTGCCTTCAGAAAAGGTGGGTTTTCAATTTATTATTATTATATAGATTGATTCCTCTCCTGATAATGATAGTACTGTATTGATTTCAGTGTTTCTATTGACTCATGTCCTTATAATTACAGGAAACAAAATATAATTCCAGTGACACATCTAAAATGTCATCCATTTTTTGCAAGTGATGCCCTTCCTAGAATTTATCTTAAAAATTATGTAGAATTACGAAATATTTCTCGAAAAAAAGAGCAAGATTCCTAATAAAAATTATTCTACCAGCCAAGCACTAACAGGCATTACATTTTTTAAATACATTGACCGGCATTACGATATTTGTACATTATAACACATTTGATGGAGATTATTTAGCGCCTTCGTTTCCACAATTAAATTATGATAACATTAAAAAAATTTTCTTGCTCACTAAAATAAGGTACAAGTTTACCCCTTCTTGGTTACCCTTCAACAGGCATGAATTTGGGATAATTTTATATGTCTTTTCAATAGAGCAATAAACAAATACGAGTAGTAAATCTTATGTATGGCCTTCATTTATATTGTATTAATGCAACGAATAACAATTTAACTTAATAAATATTTTCAGCGCCGTTACTTGTAAACATAGCAAAGTATTTTAATAGTTGATTATTTTTCTGATACGTATATCAGCATTGGCGCGTTGCTTTACTTTGAATAATGTGAATCGACGTAATTTTTGCATTGAGATAAGAAAAAGATAATTCTTCATATTTTTTTAATTCTTGATAAAAACAATTGAGTGACGTTTTTGTGGAGGCTTCACGCTTCATATAATTAACGGTTTTTGGTATCTTCTATGCAGACCAAAGTAAAATTAGAGATTAGATAAAATTAAACTGCCAAAAATAATGCACGTGAGAGTCTATAAGACAGGAATTTAGATCATGATCGAGAAGCCATACTAATGCTTAGAAAAGTGTCTCCAAAACTTGTAAATTGTTACCCAATTTAATGGACCATAATAGCCTAGTTACTTTTATCACAAATATTGTAATTATTGATAATAAATTAATTAAAATAGTAAATTAACTCAGTTCCTTGCCATAACCATTGAAAAATGGATAAATCACTGCCAGCAAATTTAGGACCCAATTGATTGAAATCTTTTGCTTTGTTCTCAGACTGACAGCATCGACCGAGAGGCCTTCACCTTCGATAAGTTCTACAAGCTTTACCACACAATCTGCCCGAGAACGGACATCGACGAGCTATACAATTCCATGTAAGTTCCACCTCGTGTGAATGCGTCGTTCAGTTGCTTCAGAGTTGTTTTCTTCGAAAATCAACCACAAAAATAAAAGTTGACTCGTACTCAATTTGAATGCGTACGTTTTTTGTTCAACTTTATGGCGTTTTAGTCACGTTTCAACTGAGTTATTTCCAGTCCCAGAACGCCCAATGCTGTTTCACTCAGTTGCACCTCTCAATTATACGCCCATGCATACTACGTATCTACTGAAGTACATGGTAACATGTTCTAAGACCGACTGTTCATTCTTCGGTTCACCGGCATTATGTAGACCTAACAAATTAGAAACATATATAGCATAAAAGCAAGAGGTGTTTTGCCTGAGCGTAATTGCTATTTTGTTGCACTTTTTGTGGAAATTTTGAAAATTTCGAAGTAACAGCCTCAGGTTCTCTATCCGTTCACTTTATTTGTGGAGATAAAGTTGTTCCAGTTGATGCTAGTTGATGGTTGAAACGTAGCAGTTGATGGTTGGAATTAGATTGCAAATATGTTTTTTTCTATAAATGGTGATGCTGGAAGTGTCAAAAGGGGTTGATAGCATCTACGGCCGCATTACCACCATTATGAATCACCATTGAATTGATTGTTTTCCCATTAGAACTGGGAGAGAAAACCAACCAAATCTGAGCTTCGACAATGGGTGAGGCACGCAACAGTGCATGAATTTAATTGCATGTTTTTTATCAAATAACTTGCATGATTGTGATCATTGTGTCCGTCCCACTTAACAGAACCTGTCATACGCATGTTATGGAATATTTGTAAGGTCTTTGTTTGTTGTTAGAACCTTTTGGTTTAGAGTTAAACAAGGTTCCTAGGTTCTGAGAACCCAATAGGTTCTGCTACTGACGGAACTTGCTGTGTCCTTGGTTAAACTCGTGCATGTTTCATGGGTTATCTGTGAAGATCATTTAATCAAAATGTGATTATACATTTGCATGTGCTTACTTGTCAACATGTCCTGAACTCGCAACTCGCCTGTTTATCTAAGTTACTGTGCTTAACTTTTTGTGCGCGTTTATTGGCTTTTGTACGTGGTTGCACTTAATTAGCAAGGTTATAAGTTTGATGAAAAAAAAATTAAAATAAAGTTGCGATTTACATAATTTTATATAAACACGGTATTTAGATTTTCAATTTTATTTTCAATATAAAAAATTTTTGCTTGTGCAAAGAAAAATTACATATATAGGCTAATTAATAACGATGGCTATCTTAATTTCTCTCGCTTTTTTAAAACACTCAAACCATATAAATTAGAATAAAATATCAACACTATTTGTAACTGTACTTACAAATAATAAAGTATTATTAATTTTTAGGATTTTTTTTTGCGTTTAAAGACTAATTCCTCACACGATTATGCTTAAAAAGTCACTAGCAACTATTGATGAGACTGGTTTTTAATATTAATAAAATATCTTCTTTTAGTGTCACAGTGTCACGTATAAAAAAATTAAAAATAAATGAATATACAGAAATTAACCATAAATCTAAACATAATTTTGTAAATTCATTTAAAATGAATGAATATACCAAAATTTACCATAAATCTAAACATAATTTTGTAAATTCATTTAAAATAAATGAATATACCGAAATTTACCATAAATCTAAACACAATTTGGTAAATTCACTTAAAATAAATGAATATACCAAAATTTACCATAAATCTAAACATAAGTTTGTAAATTCATTTAAAATAAACGAATATACCGAAATTAGCCTCAAATCTAAATTTAATTTTGCCACAGCACGAAAGAAGACACGATCAGCCTGAAGCAGTTCGTGACGTTCATGAACGAGAAGCAGCGCGACCCGCGACTCAACGAGATCCTGTATCCGCTGTACGATGACAAGCGATGCATCGAGATCATCGAGGCACACGAGCCCAAGCAAGAGTACCGCGACTTACGTGAGCCAAATGATGATAACCTAAATACTTTAGGCATGTAGAGGAGCTACTTGTACTAGCTGTTTCTAGACTAGCTACTTGCATTAGCTGCTTCTAGGCTAGATACTTAGACTAGCTGTTTCAAGACTAGATACTTGGACTAGCTGTTTCAAGACTAGATACTTGGACTAGCTGTTTCAAGACTAGATACTTAGACTAGCTGTTTCAAGACTAGATACTTGGACTAGCTGTTTCAAGACTAGATACTTGGACTAGCTGTTTCAAGACTAGATACTTGGACTAGCTGTTTCAAGACTAGATACTTGAACTAGCTGTTTCTAGGCTAGATTCTTGCATTAGCTGCTCCTAGGCTAGATACTTGGACTAGCTGTTTCTAGACTAGATATTTGAACTAGGTGCTTCTAGGCTAGCTACTTAGACTAGTTACTTCAATACTAGCTAATTTAGCCAGATGCATCTAGACTAGATAGCACTTGAATTAGATGCCCAAAGTTAACTAGGTACTTATCGTGCTACGAGCGTATTATATTTTATTATTAGGGACAAGATCTGTTATCATATTTACACGATAGTTTAGTAAGTTATCTTTATTGTTGTTATTATTATTCCGTGTGTATAGGATGACCACCCATTTCCCTATTATATTCACGCGTCGCTCGTGAAACCTGAAATTTTAACATTAAAAGGTTTAACGTTAGGTCCATCACGTGTGAAGACACTTGAAACAAGCATATTTTGGGTGCAGTTCTCGTGTTTAGCACCACCAAATTTCAACTGAGTTGTCTTTCAGAATGCATAAGCAAGGACGGTCTCCTGGCTTACCTGATGTCAGACGAGAATGCGCCTGTTTTCCTGGACCGTCTTGACATTTACCAGGACATGGACCAGCCACTGAGCCATTACTACATCAACTCTTCACACAACACTTACCTCTCCGGCCGACAGTTCGGTGGCAAGAGCACGGCAGAGATGTACAGACAGACTCTGCTCGCTGGCTGTTTTTAAGATCATGAGCGCTCGATTAAGGTTATGAGGGGGTTGAATGTTTTTGGGGGTTGATAGGTGCATATTTCGGTTCGGTACGTCTTCCACTACTGAGAGGTTGTGTGAGAATTAAATAAGTCTCTTCCCTGAAAGCAGGCGAGTGTGGCCCAATTAATGTAGTTCTTTGTAGCAACTGACTAGAAAAAATTTTCAGTCAAGTTATTGGTACTTGAAAATGAAAGAAAAATCTCAATTCTAGATAATTGGAGTCCAGCGAATAATAGTAGGAGTTCAGATCCATCGCCAGTTTGAAAATCCTAAAACTTTTTCTTTTACTAATATATGGTGAATTTCTATGTCATCGTCTTTGTCTTTAGATTCCTTGTTAATTTGCGTTGCAATAAAGTGATCTTAGTACTTATTTCCAATTACTTGCTATTCATTTTTAGCGCATTTTCTCATTTATGGAAAAATGCACTATTGTGCTCGCCATGTCCGTCCGTCCGTCGGTCTGTCTTTCCGTACCTCTGTCCGTCCGTTTGTCTGTCTGTCTGTTTGTCCGTCCGTGACTTGACGTTTCCGTCGACGAGAAAATGTGCTCTCTGTCAATCACTGCAGTGAGTACTGAGTTATATTTTTTGCTTCTCTCCGCTTCGCTCGTGGTTAGATGCGTGGAGCTGGATTGTTGGGACGGTAAAAGCGAGGACGAGGAACCCATCATCACCCACGGCATGGCCATGTGCACGGACATTTTATTCAAGGACGCCATTATCGCCATCAGAGATTGTGCCTTCGTCACCTCAGATTATCCCATCATTTTGTCCTTCGAGAATCACTGCTGCAAGAAACAGCAGTACAAGCTCGCCAAATACTGCGACGAGATTTTCGGGGACCTTCTTCTTAAGGAGCCTTTGCCTGAGAGTCCAGTGAGTCGATTTTGATAGTGTTTTAATTTAATGAATCTATTTATGAAGAAAAATTTTTATTAGGAGAATATTTACTAAATTATTTTATAGACTTTATCTGAAAGGAGTAGCAGGACCGTGAAAATTTGTAAAAATCTGGAAATTGTGTAAGAAAGGATTCCGGGATATGTGTGGCAGAGCATTTTTCACTTTGTAAAAGTGAATTTTATCGATGATTTCGAGGTTGAAACTATTGCGAGTCCTTCACGCTTGATTGTGAGTGCAAAAGCTATGTTTCAGGATTTTTTGGAGAGCTCATGACTGATCAGTTACTAACCAAACCATTGACTATCTTTAAAAAAATTTTACTTGGTACAGCTTGTGCCCGGCCAGCCACTGCCGTCTCCTAACCAGCTCAAGAGGAAGATCCTTATAAAGAACAAGCGTCTGAAGCCCGAGGTCGAGAAGCAGGAACTGAAGCTTTTCGAGCAAGGACAACTCGAGCTCGTCGACGAGGATGATGCTAAGGAAGACGCTGCCACCACCGGCGCCCCGCTCAAAGAGAAGGTATTGTCCGTAAACTAAGCTTTTTCTTCTTAGATAAATATACAATTTTTAGCGCATTTTCTCATTTATCGGAAAAATGCCCTATTGTGCTCGTCATGTCCGTCCGTCCGTCTGTTCGTCTGTCTGTCCGTCCGTCCGTGACTTCACGTTTTCGTCGACGAGAAAATACGCTCTGTATCACTCACTGCAGTGAGTACTGAGTTATATTTTTTTAATGCTATAGCCCAGGGGTTGTGCAATTAAAACTTATTTAACTACACATAGTAGTTAAGTGAGGTGGCGATTTCTCGTCTGTGATTGATGGGTTAAGCTTGAAAAGCCGTCAGTGATTGGGTTCCGTAGCGATAAACTCTTGATTATTTTTCCATAGTACGGCCAATTACCGAGTAAGAAAATCAGTAGGAATAGGGTATACGTTTTGCGACTCTTTGGTTAACACTCATACATTATTGCTATTCAATAAACAACGTATATTCAACTTATATATTTACATACAATATATATTTATTGTATTTATTGTATACAATATATTTATTGTATGTAAATTCTGGTCTTATCGCCATTAGTCTATAGGGTTTTTTGACAATCGCATGTTGTTCATGATTCATAAAAAAAGGATAAATCTTCTGGAAAATTATCCTTATCTGCAGAACTTCTCTCTCACGTTATTAAAAATTTTGAAATACGAGACTGCAACTTGATGATTCAATTCAATTACTGGCCCAATTGAGAAAATTTAATTTATCCCTAAATTAAAAGTGAATTATTTAGTTAATATGTTTAATTCTTTAAGAGTATAAACTCGATTGATTTGGTCTAGGTAGTTGATAATAGACAAAAATGATGCCAATCAGAAGCTTGCTGGTATGCCCTGTCTTATTGAGATGATTCTTTTGAATTTATGTCATATTTTGGTTTAGAAATTTAAAACTTATCCTACCTCCAAGGGCTGACATCACTTAAATTAGCTGCACCAAAAGCAATCAAGATTATATCTTTTAAATTAAGCTGTAACATTTAAAAAACTTCACGCTCCGCTGAATGAATGCCGTTTCTCTGACTACAGGCACATTCATGTCAATTTTTATGTACTGGAAAATATGTTTTATGTACTTTGTTCTCGAAAGTCCTTGTTAAAATTTATTGATTACTACTTATACGCATTCTAGTGTCCGTCTTGTTGAGCGTAGCTCATTTGACGCTTGTTATTAATGCTTTCTGATTTAGTATGCCAAAATATAGTGCCATTGCTGGTGATTTTATTTACACTTAATTCTATATTTGCCTTCAGTTTAATACACTATATCTACTAACTTTCGAATAACTATACAATAGTTAATTTAGTCGGTTCGTGGGGCTCGTAACATGAAAAAGCTATATTATTATTATTGCATTATTAATTTAGTAATAATACAATAATTATTGGCTTTGTTTCCTGAGATGGTTTCTTGCGTGTCATTTGACAATAACACTGATAAAAATTCTGGGTAAAATTGAATCCTAAGAAGATATTGTGAGAAGCAATTTATGGTTTAAGAGTACTGTTTTCAATGTAAAATATTGTTTTTTAAAATCGGTATATGTGGGTTCTTTATTAGTTTTATTACATGTGGAGCTACTTCATCATCACTGCTTAGCCTCGATTATTTTGTTTTAAAACTAACTTGAATCCTGCCATGACCGTCGATCGAGTTTTGTCCCGTTAAAGTTTAACAAGAATTATGACCGTGTCTAAACAATGGATTTTTGCAACGAGTTTCTTGACGTAATATTTGTTGCGTGGTTTCTCAGACATCTTTCGCCCTTGCTACTGTTAAATTATTAATTTTTTACTTCATTCTAAGACAACCCGGTTATTTTTTAAATGGTCATCTTGATGGATCATAGATATAATTTAAAGGTCCTTAAACTCAACACCAAGATTTCAGTCTCTGCGGAACCCGAAACTAGTTCAGAAAAATATGACTTTGCTTGTTCAGACGAACGCCTAAGATTTCAAACGCATGCCGTCCAGTGTTTCCACAACTAACATTTCCTAATAATTATTTTATCTTATTTAATAATCCATTCATACGTTTCAAGGGGCTTGTATAATGAGGGCTTAGAAGTAATGATTGCAGGACGAATGAGGTGATTGATAACCGGCATTGATACTCGGTTGTTAGTAGCAGTAGTTGCAGTGACAGTACATATAGCAAGTGTGTGGTGCTACATGAAATGATAATCATCTAGCATTACTGTAATCTAGCATTACTGGTAGCAGCATTATAACTGGTATCTGTAGTAATCTAATAACTGAAGAGGAATATACAGTAGGCACTTTACAGCCACTAAAAGTCCTGTCGCTTTTCCCCTGGTCGCTTGTGGCCGCTGCTGTTGTGGTCGCCTGCACACCGTCGCTGTTGGGCGCTCGTCCTGCTCTTCCTCCTACGTACTGCCTCATCTACGCTTAACTAACTGGCGCCTACGCTTGACTAACCATGCATACGTTTGACTAACTGGCGCCTGCGCTTGACTAACCTACATTTTGCTTCGACTGACCCTCATCTACGCTTGACTACCGGCGCCTACGCTTGACTAACCTTCATTTTGCCTCGACTAACCTTCCTTTACGTTTGATTAACCTTAATCTTGCCTTAACTAATCCTTGTTTCCACTTAACTAACCTTGCATACGCTTGTCTAACCTTGCATACGCTTGACTAACTTTCATCTCGCCTTGACTAATCCTCGTCTACGCTTGAGTAACCCTCATCTTGTCTTGACTAACCCTCATCTTGCCTTGACTAACCATTGCCTGGAATTGACCATTCCATGACTGGCTTTGATAGTTCCGTGGCTGGACTTGATTCACCCTTGCCTGAGTTTGACTAATTTTCTCCCATGCTTGACTAACACCCACCCGGGCTTGACTAACACCCACCCGGGCTTGACTAACACCCACCCGGGCTTGACTAACACCCACCCGGGCTTGACTAACTCCCACCCGGGCTTGACTAACAACCACCCGGGCTTGACTAACACCCGTCCGGGCTTGACTAACACCCACCCGGGCTTGACTAACGTTGGTCTTGGTTATTCACTCTTCATTTTCTGTTGACCATCTGTTACTGCGACTTGACCAACCGAAACCAATTTACTTGTTACTTTTTTTTATTTGTTTCGCTATTTAAACGAATATTCCGAAAACATTTTCAATTAAGTGACCATATACAACAAATTTCAATGACTAATTATTCAATGATATCAAAATTTTCTTACGATGCTCGTTTTATAAAAACTTGATTGTTATGTTTCATGACTCGAGTCAATGGTAATTGCACGAAATTCATGTCGATTAAAAGAAATAATGATTGATTTTGTAATAATGTCACTTCTCAATCAAATTATGATATAATTATATTCGACTTCCCTTTTCCAAGTTATTTTGCTCAAAACCAATGAACAAATATAATAACATTAACATGCCTGTTTTATCATAAATTGGCCTCATTAACGGAGTTCTTTTTGACTCCTCTCTTTTGTTGAAGACAGAAAAAATTTTAAATTCCTCCGTTGCTACTTGAATTCCATTTAAAAAATAATCGAAAATTTTTACGTGCTGATTGTTTATATTCTTGGAAGTTTATGCTAATGCTATTGGTTTTAATTCGTGTCTTTATTATATTAGCGTATTATTATTTTCTAATTTTTACAATCTTTTGTGTTAAAAACTTGATTTAAATCGACCTCGACTCTTGACTTGCTTCAATGATGTTGGCCATCCTGCGTCTATGTGGGAAAATCGTTCGTATTTCACTATTATTATTAAAATGTGATAAAATTTATAAAATCGCTCCCGATTGTCATAATTATTAATTTTTGTGTTCATCTGTTATATATTTTTATTGAATTCAATATTAATTCAAGCGAACATCCTGCAATAATTCGAATACAAACGAATAAATTGCAAAAAAGAAAAACAAATACTATTTCGAAACTTTACTCGAAACTAACGCTGCTAACTTTGCTGCTTTTCTTTTCTACTAACAAAATTTACAATCCTCTAAAAAATTCCGATTAACTTTAATTTTCTTAAATTCTACTTCTGATTCTACACGTGACGCTACGAAATTACGAAAAAAATGTATTTGCCTGTATTTTGAGTAGCTGGGAGGCAGCGTTAGCGTCGACAGTACCGCTAGCATAGACCACCCTGACGTTACACCAATACGCAGTTCATTTGATGCTAACCACACTGGCATTAACACCTCAAGTATGAGTAGCGGTAGCATGAGTAACGCTCCTATTTCCCAGCCGTCCATAGAGGATGACAAGCCGTTGACAGCAGAAGAGAAAGCTTTTCAGTCGTATCAGTATACGGGCGCCACAACCTTTGTACATCCCTACCTCTCCTCCATGGTCAACTACAGCCAGCCCGTCAAGTTCCAAGGATTTGACATCGCTGAAGGTAGTGCTGTATCCCAAGCCACTGTTGCATCGTTTTTTGGTGTTGTCGGCATGATGTTTGCTTTTATATGTTCACTTTGAATTACGCTTGCAATTCAAAAAATTTCAGCGTATAAACCCCTGTCAGATTGCATAATTTTTCAACGTTAGAGAACATGGGTAGAGTTGAAGATATGCAGCCTGACAAGGATAAAGGAATGCATACTGCTTGCTTACCTTTTCATTGTTATCTTTCTTAATATGGTTTTGATGTGTTTGATCTTTAATTGCGTCACGAGTTAACTTTGTGGTGTCTTACATGCGCATGTATACACTGTTCGAAAAAAACGTAAAAAACGGTCTCACTGGCGTTCTATATACTGACCGGCCGCCACGTGAAAACAAACAGTTTCGACAATTTTGAAAGATATTGTGCGGGTTTCTAGTGTTGAATTGAAATGAAAAAAAAAACGTCCACATGGTATTTTTTTCCACGTGTCGGTTGGTCACTATGAAACGCCGGTAATATCATTTAACGGTTATTTTCCGAACAGCGTATGTAGTATTGAAATTTCTCCCTAAAATATTTTGTTGCTGCATGTCGAGTGTCGACACTTACACTTTTCTCGGAGTTTTATTTACCAACGTTATGAAACGTTGATTCGATGCATGTCAGTTATTTCAAGACTTGTTTGTTTCCCATTTATCTGAATTTATTCATTAGATCGTTAATCAATTCGCCTTTTATATTTTTCGAAACTGACGTTCGAGCATAGCATATGCAGAAGAAATAGGCGTCTCCGATTTCATATATATATATATATTTTTTTATTTTGGTGTTTTCATGTGATGACATACGGGAAATTTTCTTGCAGCAGCCGACCACTTGCTATTATTATATTAGCTTTACCGCAGACAACAATCTTGCATGTTCGATATCATGTACTCGAAGGTTGATCAACTATCCTCTGTTGCGTTGACGGGATAGTAGGCAATTATTCGTTATATATATAGGCAGTTCGAGCTTCGTTAACTGAGGGCGCTGAATTTATTGTGACGGCATTCGCTCTCGTTTTAGCGCATTTTCTCATTTATGGGAAAAATGCACTATTGTGCTCGCCATGTCCGTCCGTCTGTCTGTCTGTCCGTGACTTCACGTTTTCGTCGACGGAAAAAATGCGCTCTCTGTCACTCACTGCAGTGAGTACTGAGTTATATTTTTTGATTTATTGGCATTCGGGTATCTCATTTCCTCCCAGTTTTTGTGGTTTAAACTTGAGTTTCTCACCTAGATTCTGCAACTGGTAGAGAAACTTGACGTCAATTTGTTAACGATTAACCTCGCAAAGTAAACTCAAATCGCAAGAAACAATATGACGATATGTCTTAACTCTTGAGTTTGGAGCAGAAAAGTTTTGTTGACTGCAACAATGAACCATCTTGTTGATTGTAACAACAAACAATTTCGTTCAATGTTACAAGAAATAAATTCGTTTACTAACTAGCACGTTGATTGACTGTAACAACAACCGACCACACTATCTATTTTTTGGATACTACTCGTATTTCGTAAGTATTGACCATTGATTGACTTTAACAAGAACCAACCACACTATTTACATTTTTTGGATACTATGTCGTAAGTATTGACCATTGATTGACTGTAAGAACAACCAACCACACTATTTACATGTTTTGGATACTACTCGTATGTCGTAAGTATTGACCATTGATTAACTGTAAGAACAACCAACCATACTATTTCTATGTTTTGGATACTACTCGTATTTCGTAAGTATTAACGAGCTTACACTTAGGAAGCGCCAGGCGGCCAGGATGCGGCCGTCGCCGCGGCGCCCGTCTACACGGGCACATCCAACACCAACATCCACCCTTGGCTATCTTCTATGGTCAACTACGCGCAGCCGGTGCATTTTGTTGGGTTCGATGCCGCAGAAGGTGCCTTTAAAGACACTGTTTCTCTTTGGGCTTGAGTAATATTGAGCAGTTTTGAATGCTGAGCGGCTTATTTACTTGAATTATTTATACAGTGTTAGTGTAGGGGTGCGGCTAAAGTTGGGAGATCCCTGTGAAAATTTTGAACCTTTCCTTTAATTTATATTGGAACGTAAATTATGTCAGGTGGCACTTGTGTCTTGTGCATTATTGCTAGCATCGAAAACGTCGCCTCGTACCTGGTATGCTACGGAGGATCTTGTATTCTTTCTTCATTACCTATTATTTTGCTTCATTATCTGGGTTCCCTGCAGCACATCTTAACACCTCTTTACTCACATCTATATTCGCTTTTATACTCACCTCTAAATGATCTAAAAACTCTCGCGTATCTGTTGGAGACATACAAATTATTGCGACAAATAATTTTTTAGTTAACAATTGCAATTTTGGATGTTAGATTACATAAATGGTATCCCGTGCTGCATAGAATATATAATTACTGTTTTTATATATGGGAGTTGTTTCATTTAAGATACTCGCTGTTTTTGTTTTCTGATGAGCGGGTAATTGTCATTTCTCTTAAAACTTTTTCATTATGCCGGTCACCATTTTGTTCTCAAAACGATAACTGCGTCGGATATTATATTCTTATAAGATATTATATATTACCTTGATTTGTTTCTTTCCATTCTAATGAAAGGATTTTCTCCTAAAATTTACATTTCGGAAATGCTAGATATTTTGAATCGTATCTCTTGTTTTTTTTTTAACTGGGAACCATGCATAGCACGAGTCGTGCTTATGACGAAAGTTCAGGCATAGCACGATTCGTGTTTATGACGTAAGTCTATGCTAACATGGTTGCTGCATTTCTATGGAAAAGAACTGTAATATTCGTTATTCCTCTTTCGAATAAGTTTGCACCGCTTGAACACTGCATGTTTAGCCATATTCTACATTTATTGCTCATTATTGCGTGCATGTGTACAATTCAATTTAAATACGCGAACTTAGTCACGTATTCGCTAATCAAAAGCCCATTATGTTAATTTATATCCATGATGTTACGATAATATGTTTCTTATTGTCATATTCTCGTAAACTATTTATTTCTGTTCAGCGGTGGATAAATTTTTTACCTTTTCGATTCTTGAATTGCTTGAACTCCTGGCCTTCATCTAGTAAAATAGTTTTTCATTTGTTTGATGTTTATATGTAACATCATCTATAGGAGCTCTTTAATGATGTGTGCTTCATCAATAAACTCGTTTTATCCCCATAGAATTTGTCTGATTCAGCATGTCGCTCTAATTATCTCTGTTTACTCTTGCATGGATTCTGCATGAACCGCACCATGTATATTTCCTAAATGCCTGATTTCCCCCTCCTGATAAATACTCACGTGATGGATTAAATACAACGTATGTATATCACCAGAGTTAAGCTGTGGGATTATTATTAAAAAATTCTACTATTTTTTACTTCGATTACCACAATTCAATTGTTTTAAATTGAAACAAAAATTGTTATCTTGCAATTTAGGAACTTGATTACAAAATTGATCACAGGCAACAATTTCTTCAATCTTTCATCAATTAAAAAGATAACAGTCTCAAAACAGTTAAAATCATATGTTATATTATCTATTTAAAATGAATAATATTAAGTAGGTGAAAGTTGTCCTAACTTGCATATTTACTTTGGACGATCAAACGTTCAAACCTAACGTCCGTCTGTTGCCTGCTATAGTCTACTTATACCCGTTTTATTTGAATGTTTTTGTGGTGGTATCTAAACATTTGTAAGTTTCATTCAAATTTTTTCTAACGTTCATTATGTGGTATTCATTTACAATTACAGAGAAGAATATCCATCACAACATGTCAAGTTTCTCAGAGACTGCAGGCCTTGGCTACCTCAAAACACAAGCCATCGAGTTTGTTAACTACAATAAGAGACAAATGTCGAGGATTTACCCTAAGGGCGCTCGAGTGGATTCCTCGAATTACATGCCTCAGGTGTGTGTTCTTTTTTCGATTTAATCATCTCGTTATAATTCTCTTGATTTCATTTTAAAAAGTGCAAAATTTCATTAAAGATTAAAAACCAAATATTATTAACAACGTACTCATGAGAAATCACTCGGCTTAAGTTTGTCTGTCTATTTAGTTTGTGAATAAAATGTGATTTTCGATAATTTTTTGACCAAATTGTTAATTAGCATAATAAACTGAACGCATGATTAATCTATTTTTGCTGGTTAGCTTTTTGTTGAAAATTCATCACATATTAGTTTATTTAATAGTACTAATCACCCAGAACGTGAACTCGTCAGAGGATCTACTGGATTGGAACTCTCAATTTTGTTATTCTATCCTGTCGGGGATAATCATTCGTTCTCGAAGCTTCTTACATTGAGATTTATATTGACGTCTTGGTTTTTGTGTAAAATTGATGATTGTAATCATAACTTCAACTTGTATGCGTAGACATTGAAGATTATAGAGGTATAATGGTACTAATTTTTCGATGTATAGAAACTAAAATAGGTACGCTACTATGCCTTTACAGTTTACACCATACATGCATTTCATGTGCTTAGGAACGGCGGTTGCCAGATAGTGTAACTGAACTGTCAATTACCGTATTTTAAGTCACTATTTACGTATTGCAGGTGTTTTGGAACGCCGGTTGTCAAATGGTGTCTCTGAACTATCAGACTCCTGACCTGCCTATGCAACTAAACCAAGGCAAGTTCGAATACAACGGCAACTGCGGCTATCTCCTCAAGCCGGACTTCATGAGAAGAATGGACAAATCTTTCGATCCGTTCGCCGAGAGCCCCGTGGACGGTGTAATTGCAGCCCAGCTCGGAGTGTCCGTGAGTTATTGCAGTTATTATTGTTCTTATGTTATTGCAGTTATAAATAGTTTAAAAACTGCATAGCGACTATTGCGGCTGAGCGCGTTGATGCCGAGTCCACGGGACTCTTAAGGCCTTCAGGAGGTTATAGTGATAATTCAGTGGTACATCGATTTTCGAACTCTTTAGAATTCGACCAAACCGGTAGTCGATCAATAAAATTGATTAAGTTTATCTTGATAATTTGATCTGAAATTGGAAAGTCCACCACCCACACATATGTTTGGTACATGCGTTCGTTTGGAACCCCCGTTATAGTTTCTAAACTCCTTAAAAACCCTTCATTTTTGCTTACGTTTATGGTTTACCGAGCAGGAATGTTCAAGTCAATATGAATTCAGTGTAAGACTCGCGCTTGTTGTTAAATTTTATTTCAACCATTATAGGGTGCTTATACACAGTGATAGTAGTGACGGAGTATGATCGAGTAACCATTCATAGTGCAAAGTAACCCGACTCAGCCTTTTAAAGAATTAATTATTTGTGTTCTAATCTCGAGTGCAATGTATGTCCAAGTTACTAAATTTTGTATTGTGTATCGATTCAATTGTGTCAAGTTACTAAAGCTATCTTGAATATGGATTCAATTTGTGTGTCAGGTTATCGCCGGCCAGTTCTTGTCGGACAAGAAAGTAGGCACATACGTGGAGGTTGACATGTACGGCCTGCCCACGGACACCATCAGGAAGGAGTTCCGGACGCGGATGGTGCCTGCGAACGGCCTAAACCCGCAGTACAACGAAGAGCCTTTTCTCTTCAGAAAAGTGAGCAAGTAGATACATGTTTTCTCTTCAGAAAAGTGAGCAAGTTGATACATGCTTTCTTTTCGAAAAAAGTGAGCAAGGTGATGTATGTTATCTCTTCAGAAAAGTGAGCAAGTTGATACACGTTTTCTCTTCGGAAAAGTAAGCAAGTTGAGATTCGTTTTCTGTTGAAAAAAGTGAGCAAGCCGATTATTCTTAAGGTGTCGATCAATCTTCAGAGTGGAGGCCTAATTACAGCCATGTTTCCAGACAGCCATACCTTCCGAGTATTTTTGCTAAAAATTACGGTTTTCCACGATTTTTCTATTTCTTTTTGTACACTTAGTGGCTAATTAGTTTTTTGCTGAAACATTATTCTTCTTTCTAAAGAGAAGTTATCCTTAATGGAGTAAATAATATTAACTGCAGTAATAAAATTTGTAGAATCGTCTGTCCATACTTGTTTCGTCCAAAAGCTTTTATAAAAATAAATAATATAAATAAAATATGCATCTTATAAAATATTTATTACTAATAATATAATTAATTCTTAATTATATTATAAAAATAATATGCTTCTTGGATCGTCGCATCTATTCTATTAAATTAATAAATTAAGATGTGTATTGAGTTTCAGCCGTGTAGATTTTTTTTGTTTAGATAGTCTGGGGATCCCGGAAAATGCGGCTGCACTTCTTATCATGAAAGTTGTGATGAAATTGCGTACTATCACTTATATTCCGATTCACGATGACGTCATCATTTCTTGTAATCATCCGAAATGTATTCGCTTGATTGCTGGCTAATTTTTGTAGTCCCTATACTATGATAAACGAGTAGTAATTCTCTAGAATTGACTAAATCTGCTTACTGTACATCGTTTATAATAATTCATGAAAATGGACAGCACTAAGGACCAAGCTTGATCGTTAAACTTTGCTGGAAGAAAATATTTTCTACAGTTGAAGTGTGCCAGTTTTTTACTCAAAACTAGAAATTTACAGCCGTCCCATGTAATGATTACGTCACTCATAAGATGTGTAGCAGCTTATAACTTCATTCAAATACATGAATTGTACTTGACTGCCTGCAAGAAAACAACGTTTTCATTGAAGATATGATGAATGTATTTGTCGTTTTCTTTGCTTCTAAATTCTTGGTGAAATTGCGATTTAAGCAATACCTAATTTTATAAGTACTTGGAAACCAACATACTATGTTGCCAGCTGGCATGTGATATTAAATTAATCAGACTAAGGCAGCTATTTAATTTAAGTAGACATTATACTTCTATGCATGCAAGAAACTTGCATACCATGTTGCCAGCTGGCTGGTGGTCTTAATCAGAGATTAATGCAGCTATTTCATTTAAGTAGACATTATACTTCTATGCGTGCTAGAAACCAATATACCAACATACCATGGTGGCATGTCGTATTAAATTAATCAGAGACTAAGGCAGCTATTTCATTTAAGTAGACGCAATAATTCTATGCGTGCTAGAAACCAATATACCATGTTGGCAGGTGTTATTACGTTAATCAGAGACTAAGGCAGATATAAATTTAATTTAACTAGACATTATACTTCTATGCATGCAAGAAACCAATATACCATATTGTTGGCAGGTGGTATTACCGGACTTGGCTGTACTGCGTTTCGGCGTGTACGACGAGAACGGCAAGATGCTGGGGCAAAGAATCCTACCTCTGGACGGCCTCATGAGCGGCTACCGACACATCTCGTTGAGGACTGAAGGGAACTTCCCCATGTCTCTGCCCATGTTGTTCTGTAACATCGAACTCAAGATATACGTACCTGATGGGCTCGGAGGTAACCGCAGCGCAATCTTAAAGCTTAATTTTTGAAAAAATAATTTTGGTTTAAAAATCATTTTGGTTCTTTTTGGTTAAAAAAATCTTTTTGCATCTGTGTTTGGGGCTTTTTAGATTCAAGTTTTGAAGTTGTTTCTTTCTATTCTGAGCAATTTTTTGCAAAGTGTGTATCATATGATTTCTTTCCAAGTTTCAGGATTTTTCTAGCTATCTTGTTTATGTATGAGACGATGAAGAACGGTCAAGCACAATGTGCAAGTAAGTTGCAGAGCTGATGGACGCTCTGTCTGACCCTCGAGCGTTCATGAAAGTACATCACTATGTGGACAATGTCTCATTAATTTCTCGTAATGCAGAGCTGATGGACGCTCTGTCTGACCCGCGAGCGTTCATGAGCGCCCAGGAGAAGCGCGAGCAGCTGGGGGGGGAATGTAGCGGGCCAGCCTTGGCCGCGCTTAAAACGCTGCTAGTTATTCAGCCGCCGCACCTCTCTGACAAAGACTAGGGAGAAAAAGTACGAGTAGATAGTGTTATCGAGAAGCAGCTGATAGGAGTAGGCAGCCGACTTTTGCCCGTGCCACAACACTTTGTAATGTCTGTAAATATCTGTGTCTAATTGTCTGTAATGTCCGCGAAATGTAAATATACCTTGTGTCCTTTGAAGATTGGCTGAGCCACTTTGATCCTCGTACGCTAGGGCCCGTAGGCAGAGACCCAGTAACTTCGTGTATGGAGCGTAGCTCTCCCGCTATATATTTTTGGTGGCCAGTATGGGGAAACTAGGGGGAGGTATCGATAATTAGCAAATAGGTCTTTGTTCCGTTGTCAGCAATTTCGGTAGGTTGTGATGGTGTGAAAGATTAGCTATACTGGTAGCGCGTTAGTTCTCCCGCAACATGTTTGTTGCTCGGTCACGATGTGCAATTTTGATCGTATTTAGTCAGCTGGGGGCATACAAGCCTAACTGACAGTTGAATTATTCATATGTGATTCTTTATGCCGAGTAAGTGCGTCGTCTTGGGGGGGGGGGGAGGAATGTAGCGGCCCGACTTTCTGACTGTCGGTCTCGCTCTTCTTTTCTTTCCGACGCCTTACTCAGAGCTGAGATTGGACATGAGCCTGATTCGGCTCACTCTTGATTAAGCCGCCTACCACAGCGGGCGTGACTGCTTGCGGTCGCCGTGTGGCGGCCTGCAGATTTGGCTCTTTATTCAACTATAGGCTCCGCTGTTCGTCGTTGATCCCTGGGCTGGTTGCTACAACACATCCTGCCCACGGTCATGGGCTGGTGTGGCTACCAGGAGGATATTCAAGAGAACCAGCCTCAACGGTGACCCTTCGCCGACCCCTTACTTCGCTTGGATGATGGCTTGAAGAGTAATTACGACATTCTGATTTGTGACCGGACCGCCGTATCCATGGAACCCAGCTCCGTTGCGTTCGCTGCCAACGTCGGGTGAAGACCATGGAACGTGCCTAACTGGGTCTACCACCGACGCTATCATTCATCGTCTACCATGTGATTTCCGTGCAAGTGTAAAATGTACCTTCCTTGTGAACTAGCCGAATGTGTTATGTGAATAATGTGAACTGTGAATATTAGTTATACAATCACTTAGAACTATACTGTTATTGTCTTTGCCNCCTGTCTCTTATACACATCTAGATGTGTATAAGAGACAGGAACTATACTGTTATTGTCTTTGCCTGTAAAAAAACTGGTCCCGCAGCTAGACGGTTGGGCAAGACGTTTACTCTAGAAAAACGCGGTTTGCCTAAATGTGTGGAGTTTCCGAAGAATTAGCCCTTCAACCCACCAGAGGTGCCGTCGTTCACTGATGAATTACTTAGTTTGTACTGAAATTAAGCCAGGTTGCCTGAGCTAGTTCGGAACCTATGACGTATCTTCATGTGATTTTCCTATCGTTGACTTCATTTGTGACCTATACTTTTGACGTTGACAATCGCCACTGAGGTCAGCGTTTACACTTATCATTGTCCTGCGGTTATGAACAAATATTGCACCAATAAATAAATACAATCACTTAGAATGTATAAGAGGTTTTTGTACAGCAAGTTAGCGTTGCCTAGGGGTAAGTATGAGAACTTATGTTGGATTCTAGGTTAGGGTTTTGTGTACTAGTAAAAATGTATATATTGTGCTAATAGGTATTAGTATTACTGAAGGTGGTAAAAACTAGTGTAGTTTAAGCTGTCTGGGCGTGGGGGTTTGAAGCTCACGGTTCAGAGCATTTTTCAAGCTTCTCTTAATAAACATTTATAACTCTGATTTTACCAATATTTGCTGATTTTTTTCCCCAATTGCATTAATAATTCTACTATCCCGTTGGGGTAGCAAAATATGTTGCATCTCTCCCGCAACAGCGTTCATGAAAGTACATCACTATGTGGACAATGTCTCATTAATTTCTCGTAATGCAGAGCTGATGGACGCTCTGTCTGACCCACTAGCGTTCATGAAAGTAGGTCAATATGTGGACAATTTCTCATTAATTTCTTGTAATGCAGAGCTGATGGACGCTCTGTCTGACCCACTAGCGTTCATGAAAGTAGGTCAATATGTGGACAATTTCTCATTAATTTCTCGTAATGCAGAGCCAATGAACGCTTTGTCTGACCCACTAGCGTACATAAAAGTACATCACTATGTGGACAATGTCTCATTAATTTCTCGTAATGCACACTGTTAGAAAAATTCCCGTTACCGGTATTACCGGCATTTCAGTGGCCGGTCGGCACGTGAAAAGAAACGCCGTGTCGCCGTTTTTATTCCAATTTGACACTAAAAATCCGTAAAACATCTGATAAAAACGACGAAACAGTTTATTTTCACGGGGCGACCGGCCACTAGAACGCCAGTGAGACCGATTTTTCACCGTTTTTTCTAACAGTGCAGAGCCAATGAACGCTCTGTCTGACCCACTAGCGTTCATGAAAGTAGGTCAATATGTGGACAATTTCTCATTAATTTCTCGTAATGCAGAGCCAATGAACGCTCTGTCTGACCCACTAGCGTTCATAAAAGTACATCACTATGTGGACAATGTCTCGTTAATTTATTGTAATGCAGAGCTGATGGACGCTCTGTACTAGCGTTCATAAAAGTACATCACTATGTGGACAATGTCTCATTAATTTCTCGTAATGCCGAGCTGATGGACGCTCTGTCTGACCCACGAGCGTTCATGAAAGTACATCACTATGTGGACAATGTCTCGTTAATTTCTTGTAATGCAGAGCTGATGGACGCTCTGTCTGACCCACTAGCGTTCATGAAAGTACATCACTATGTGGACAATGTCTCATTAATTTCTCGTAATGCAGAGCTGATGGACGCTCTGTCTGACCCACGAGCGTTCATGAGCGCCCAGGAGAAGCGCGAGCAGCAGATGAAGGCGATGGGTATCGAGGCGGCCGATATCAACACCAAGGATATCAACATCGTCAATAAAGGTAGCAAGAAAACTCCTGCCGGCGCTACCGGGTCCAACGCTGCCGAGTCCAAGAAAGAAGAAAGAGGTGAGTCACGGCTTGGTCGACAAATTCAACTCAAATTTAATGGAATTAATTAATCGAAATGAAGCGTTCATGAGCGCCCAGGAGAAGCGCGAGCAGCAGATGAAGGCGATGGGTATCGAGGCTGCAGATATCAACACCAAGGATATCAACATCGTCAACAAAGGCAGCAAGAAAACTCCTGCCGGCGCTACCGGGTCCAACGCTGCCGAGTCCAAGAAAGAAGAAAGAGGTGAGTTTTGCGCTCGGTCAACAAATTCGAGTGAAATTTAATGGAATTAATTAATCGAAATGACACTAATTAAATGAAATTAGAAATTGATTGAAATTTGACCCGCGGTTGAATTTCGCTTAATTCTTTTGGCACTAAAGAAGTTCAAATTGAATGGAATTAATTAACCGAAATGACGCTAATTAAATGAAATTACAGATTGAATGAAATTGTACACTCGGTTGAATTTCGTTTAATTCTTGCAGTATTGCAGAGGTACGAATTTATCTATACTCGATACGTTTGTATAGATTGTAGGTACACTTGCTGCCAAATTATGCTTTCCGATGATAATTGAATACTTGTGAGCTATGTAACAAATCATTTATAAATTCAAGAGGAAATGATTTCCTTAAATTTATTCAAGAAATTGGTTGCAAAATAATTTCTTGAAATAGAATTGTTTGCTATAAATTTAAAGAATTTAAGTGAAATTTACAATATAATCTTTTATAACTATTGTGCCCTCGAGCCTTGCTTGCAATTATTGCTCTACGCTTCATTGTTTTGAGGTGTTATTTTAGGTAGGATTTTGTTGTGTTCTTCATAATCGTATGTCAAAAATTTGATCATGAAGTACATTTCATGACATGTCATTTTGATCATGTCATGAGCAAAAGTTGATGTCATAGGTTTCAAACATAAGTTAGTGACGAGGCTTGTAAAATAAAATTAAATCCATTAGTTTTTTTAATTAGGCTTGAGTCAGTTTTTTTTCGCGCTCAAGTGCTAGGGTTAGGTTTTTTATTCTCCAAATTACAATGGTTTAGTTTGTGAAATTGTTTAAGCATTGAGATTTACATCGTCGAATATAATTAAATACATTACGATTTTTGAGACAACTATCAGTTTTCTTTATTATCTTATTAGACAGAATACTAATTCAAGTCGAGTAATGCAGTCATTTATTCGTTACTCGAATGGCCTGCGATAAAAACAAGAAAATTCCAGAGTGGAAACGAGGAAAAAATATTCACAGTTAGGCTCACGACTAAGAAATATTGCTAGATGAAACGTCGCATCAATTAAGTAACATAGTCTTGAGTGATTAGCAAACTTCGTGATGAAATGTTGTTCGATCTCCAAGCGCCTTGTTCAAAATATATTCTGGCCTATTTTTAATTTAATGGCTCTTTTAATTCTATGGACCTAATTAAGATGTCGAAACCTTATTCATGCTGATTATATTAGATGATAAATGTGGAGGAAAAAACTTCGAGTTCAATCGTTTAGTAACGCTAAACTAAATTTTTTGTTCTTTTACATAATAATTTTGATCTAATTCCCTGGTATTCAGTAGCTTTATGAAATTAAATTATTTGTTTTCAATAAGCTATACTTGCATTCTGCTCAAAAATGTATATACGTAATACCTCTTGCAAAAATATTAAAGTTATCTAGACTACGTGTATACATAATGAAAAGTCATTTAGCTTCTTGGGTTGTTCATTGTTGCCGTGTATCAAAAAACGTTCATAATTTTTTTAAGTAAGCTTTATTCGCATGAACCGCCCTTCTATCAGTTAGTATTTCTAAGTATTGTAACCGGTGATTTCATGACTTACTTCATGCAAACATTAACGTATTACTCACCATCATTGAAATTAAAAATGGAAAATAAAAACATACATATTTCTAACCTTAAAATGCCAACGTAAAGTATGGCTGCTGTAAAAGGCTGCAAAATTCTACCATAAAGTATGACTGACCGTAAATGCAAACACAACGAATTCTGACCATAACAAGCCAATATTAAATATAAATAACCATACAATGTCAACATTAAGTATTACTTATCATAAAATACTAATATCAGTATAAACAATAAAAAATGCTAGCACACAATATAAACAACCATAAAATGATAATATTGAGTATTAACGTCCATAAAATATTAACATCCACATAAGCAACCATAAAATGCTAATATTAAGTATAAATAACCATAAAATGCCTATATAAAGTATAAACAACCATAAACTGCTAATATTGAGTATTAACGACCAGAAAATGCTACCATAAAGCATAAATAACCATAAAATGCTACCATGAAGTAGAAAAAACACAAAATACTAATATAAGTATTAACGGCTATAAAATACTATTATCCGTATAAACTACCACAAAATGCAAATATTAAGTATTAACGACCATAAACACTGACAGAGGAGCTGGAGTTGGAGCCCATCAACCTGGAGTCGCTGCGGACCCAGAAGAACTTCCTCAAGTCCACCAAGAAGCAGCAGAAGGAACTCGAGGTCATGCGCAAGAGGCNCAGAAGAACTTCCTCAAGTCCACCAAGAAGCAGCAGAAGGAACTCGAGGTCATGCGCAAGAGGCACATGAAGGAGAGACTGTCCGTGCAGAAGCAGCAGTGCGCTGCCATTGATAAGGCTTCCAAAGGCAAAAAGTCAGTAAATATCTTGTATTTTTCCTTGAATATTGTCGTTATAATTGTTGGTATGAAATTCATGATGCTTTTATTGTTGTATTGGTAATTTTTTGTGTAGTTCCTCTCCGTGTAGGAGGATAGATATTCGACTGTACGCATGGATATTATTGTTGATATTTTTGTTACAATTCGAGCTACTATGAACTCTGATATTTTTCTCGCATTAAGTTAGTTTGCTTGCTATTCTAATAGTCATTATATCTATAATTATTCGGCATGTTTTTTCTGCTTTAAGATTCATCTCTGCAGCCACACTCTTGCTTTTATTGATGGTGCACTTGTTACGTATCGGATTTCACTTCTTACGGCACTTACTCTCATAAATTATTTTAATTCTGTGTATGGTGCCTGATTTATGTGGCTAACTTCTCTTATTCTAATTCTAAAGCTCCTATTATTTTACCATTATTCTTTGCTGCCATTTATTTGCAGCTATTATTTTTAATCTGATGGCCATCACTTAGTGCCTGTTCAGTCCATATTATTAGTTAAGCGCCACTTATGATCACATTTAGTGCATTGGCATGGGGATATTTTCGATAGCCTCGAAACTAATATTCAAAAATTTCTGAAGATGTCTGCACTCTTGTTACACTCTGCACTCTTAAGATGTCTCTCTAATAGCAACTGCAAATCTATAATTTTTTATTTATATTGCGCACATAGACCTAAAATATGATTATATTCAGCTTAGGAAGTTTTTAATGTTAACATTTTTTCTACCCGTTTAAATTTATCGTTACATTTCAGTTATGCACGAACATCAGATTTGATAACTACTCATCTCATCGAGGCGTTTTCTTAGCCTATAATTTTAAATGTTGACCTAATAAAGTAAAGTCAATCTGTCCTAACCTGATGTTTTTTTACGAGCTTGCATTAATTGTCAATCAACATTTAGGCTAAATTTAAAGTATTCTTTTGAGTTGACTAAAACATATCTGATTTTTACTGGACGAAATAGCAAGTCTTGTTCAACGTTCTAACCAAAGTAGTTCATTATCACTTTACTAGTGCAGAAAATGTTCTTGTAAACGCTAGTGACTTCAATGATGGTAGGTATAGAGTTGCCATCTTTTATTTCTTGTCTCGCTAGATTCACGTAGCCAAATTTGCTTCTTCTACATTATGCACTTATTCGTTTATCGTATGATTCTCGCCTTTTGTTTTGTATTGAACTTGTTGGTTATGCTTGTAAATGTCATTTCTCCTTTTGTTCTCTTTTTCTGATCCAGAGCAACTTGCACAATCCCTTGTGTGTCACCGCCACCTGCTCGCAAGTTCAAAATTTTATTCTGGCATGAGGATAAAGAACCAGAAGGACCAATCTTGTAAGCTTTTTATTTACTTAATGCATGCTGATTCTGGTGTGGAGTTTTTTTTCTGACTGATTTAAGGATAATGGCGAAGTGTCTATTTAATTCGTTTTATTTTTCCATGAAGACCTGGAGCATCTAAAATAAGTCTTGTGCATGTGTGTAAATAAATTGGCTAAAGAGCAAGATTCGGAGTTCGAATATGGTTCGCTGCAGCGTCTTTCTGACTCTTAACTAAAACTAGCGATACCTAAAACTATAGATGGACTTCGTACGCAGTGCGACAGTGATTCGTGAATTCGCTGTTAGGGTATTCATCATTATTCGGTGGTATTGCTATAGAGACAGAATTAAATTTCACCATTCATCAATGCATCAATGTTGAAGATACTAGTGCGTTGGGATACATTTTTATTGTGGCCTCTAATTCAGGAGAAAAGTTTGGCAGCCTAAACCTAAACCTAAAAAAATTATGAATAAATCTTAGAGAATAGCAAGTGCCTAAACCGCTTCTCACTAATAGATATATTCATGTATTTTTCATAATTCTTGTTTATATTTCCTGAAGATGGACATTTTCAGTTATTTTTTGGTTCCTACTTCAAACCTTTTTCCTGGTTTTGAAGAGTAAAAGTAATTTTTGAGATGCTAAGATGCACTCGTGTAGAGATGCTAAGTTTTCCACTCGTATAGAGATGCAATATATGGTCTCAAAGTTGATCGTTTGTTTAGTATTGAGGGAGTGTACTGCTTATTCTGTACGTGACGAATTCGCTCCTCGGAATTATTGTGTTTTGCGTCTCTCTAAAATTAAACAATGTGAGCTGAACGATGACCTTCCCGAAGTCGACATTATAAGTATTACTTATCGTGAAGTGTTGTTATCGTTTATACTTCCGTAAGATCCGTAGGATAGGTTCACTTTTAATCGATGAACATATTTTTTAAGCTTGAGTGCCATAATCCTGATCAAAAATTTTGACGGGATTCTAAATTCGTGTCCTGACAGCCGAAGTAATTTTGCCTTTTTGGGATAGTAAATAATCAAGATCCAATTTCTTTGTAACATTTTAATGAAAGCGAATAGTTTTAACTTCGGATATCTTCGAGTTATATTTTCTGTGCGTGAAGAATCTAATTTGTGAGTAAGTACCGGTACATTGTGTAAGTAAGAACATTGTGTTAGTAAGTACATTGTGTAAGTAGGTACATAAGTACATTGTGTAATTAATTACTTTGTGTAAGTAAGTACTTTGTATAAGTAAGTAAATTGTGTAAGTAAGTACACTGCGTAAGTAATGCTACTAATTTCTGTCTCACTTATACTATACGTACTACGATAATTAATTTTGCCTATTACTATGTGCACATTGCAATGCAATTGCCATTTATATCTAAACAAACATTATTCCAAAATGCGAAGTCAAGTGTTAAAAGTGGTTGGACTGTTGAAATTCAATTAGGAATTACATTATATTCTCTGGCTTACAGCCGACATCTAGATTGAAATTGTTAATGCGATGGAAATATTTCGTGTCTTGTGAGATGGCAGTCACTCCGTGTACCCATGTGGGAAGAGGTTGGAAAATTGTTATTGTTTTGTGTAACTGTGTAAATGTAATTGTGTAAATTGTGTAAATTGTGTTATTGTTTTGTGTAACTGTGTAAATTTAATTGTGTAAATTGTGCAGTTGTGTAAATTGTGTTATGGTATGATTATGTAAATTGTGCATTTGTGTAAATTGTGTTATTGTTTGATTATGTAAATTGTGTAAATTGTATGATTGTGTAAATTGTGCAATTGAGTAAATGGTGCTATTGTTTGATTGTGTAAATTGTATGATTGTGTAAATTGTGTACTTGTTTTGTTGTTAATAATTTCGTTTGAATGTTTTTGTCCAGAGAGGTGATGGATGATCCTAACATCAAGGCGATGGTGTCGGAGCAGATGCAGCAGTGGTCGGACATGATGGAGCGACATCGTAAGGAGGAATGGTCAATGTTGAAGGAACATCTTAAGAGTCAGGAAGATATTCTCAAGAAACTCATGGAGGCCGAACAGGCCAACCAAATGAAGAGACTTGAGGAGAGATATAATCAGTGAGTTAACTTTAATCTGCTGGTCCATTTCATCATAGATCTTTTTGGTCAAAAATAGTGGATAATAATAGAATAGAAGTGTCGGCGTTGAAGAAATAGGCCCATGGCCTGTTGGGCAATAGTTATGGGCATCAAATAGTTATAGCTACGGATTAATTAATGGTATTTTATCATTATTTACATAGCACATTTCTTGAAACCGAATAGTTATACTTTCTTTTGTTGGCTGATTGTCGGAATGAATCCAGGTTTAACAAGTCAGGAAATGCCTTTAAATATTGTAACGATAAATAGTACCTGATCTCTTTATCATCCTTTCTCGTGTTCAGCTACCGGTATCGTGCATGTTTGGACATCTAAACTTAGTTCTCCCACATTGGCGCTGTCGTGCAATTGTCGTGTGCATTGTGGTAAAGTTATACCGTCACACAAGTCTCATGAAATCTATATTGTTTTGATCTTACGCATTGAGGTTCTATATTTTCTGATATTCAACCAATTGTCCGCAATATGAATACAAAGATCTTTCGTTTTTCGTAGGCAAGTCGCCTCCATGATCACCCGAAAAAGAAAAATTCCGCTAAATGGAAAAGAGATCATACAAATTTTCTGCGTTTATTTAGACTTTCGAAAAGCCAGGTTCTATTTAATAGGGAGCGTGCCCACTGCCCACGTCCAAAAGTAAATTGCTAAAAAATACAATTATTAAATTGCGCGGTGTGCAGCTTAATCGAATACGAATGCGCTGCTAGATGCAGTGTTCGCCAATCCTCGACCAGAATGCTAAATGATGGCATGATTCGTCATCTCCAGTTAACTGCTTCAGTAATTACTGCCATTTCAGCCCTTTTAGCGCATTTTCTCATTTATGGAAAAATGCCCTATTGTGCTCGTCATGTCCGTCTGTCTGTCTGTCTGTCTGTCTGTCTGTCTGTCCATTCGTGACTTCACGTTTTCGTCGACGAGAAAATGCGCTTTCTGTCACTCACTGCAGTGAGTACTGAGTTATATTTTTTCCCTTAATATCTGTTACAGAAAATGAGTTCACTTGAAAAAAAAAACTTGAACGATAAACCAGGTTCACTTGAATCTGGCAGCGCACTCGATTAATGATTGCTGAATAAGTGGGAAACATCCTTGTTAGGAACTTATCACACGATTATGTTCAATAAAATCACTTCACTTGTACACATTATTTAGACTGTGTGATGTGTTAAGGATCTTTCGGGTTTCGTAATTCAAAAAGACTGTCCCTGAGATATCAAGTTGAAAACCTGTTTAGTATTTTTTATTTTGTTATAACTAGGATGTCCATGTTAGTCAGTATTTTTGAATTATTCATGGAATTTACTATTTTTGTTTTAGCTACAATATATTGTGATGATGTTGGGTTATTGCAGAGAAAATAAAGAAATGAAGGCAGCGCAGGCGAAGGTGGCGGTCGAGACGTCCAAGGAGGTGGCGGCCGACAAAACGCTGCGGAACAAGGCGGACCGCGACCGTAGACTTAAGGAGAAGAATGAGAACAACACTGGCCGCTTCATCAAGGAGAGGAAGATGACAGCCATCAAGCAGAGCCGGGGCAAGGAGAAGCTCAAGAAGATACACGAGCAGCAGATGACAGAGCTTGTCAAGGACATCAAAGCGGTGAGTGATGGAACTTTGGTCCAAGTTATATGATTTTACGTAACGTGGATTCCATGTGGGGATAGTTTAGGTAACGTGGGTTCAAATTATGAAGTTAATCAGTGCATTTAAGGTAAGTTTGTGATTCAATGGAGAAGATTCACGAGCAACGGTGAGCTTTAGAAGTGTGTTTAGAGTCTGATACGTTACAAGTCAGATGAGTTAAAAAAGCGTTTATCAAAGTTAGTTGAGTTAACATAACTATTTTTTCGAAGTCAGTTTAGTTTACATAACGGTTTTAATGTTTAAAATTTATGATTTTATGTACGGTAAGTTGATGTGTAATTATTATTATTGACTACTGAAGATTATAATGAACATCATTGACGAACAGCCAATGACCGAGCTGGTAAATGGCTTATAAAATGGAAGTGTGGGAAGTGAATTGCAATTAAGTCTGCTGCTGTTGGGTTCGATACAATGTGTGTTTGTAAATAGACATTAAGTTTCATGACTCATGCATTTTTACGCCTACGCATTTAGAGGTTATAGCGGATACGGTATAGCGCATCGCGCTTACGACTGCAAGTGTAAAATATTAAGAATCTGTTTCAAGTTCCATGAATCTCATCAGAGTGCAAAAACTGAATTTATATTGTGGAAAGTGATATCACAGATATTACTGATATGACAAGTCTGAATATAAATTAGGTTTCAGCCATACTGGGTCAACTATCAGAACGCTTTGCCGGTGCCACTAAGTAGGTTTGTTATTGGAATTCTAGTTTTTGGTCGTTATCGGGTTATGAATAATTTGCTCTGTGCGAGGAAGCTACCGAAAACTGGTGATTGGCCCAAAAAATAGCAGCTCAATTTCCCGTTAGAAGGTTCAGTGAAACAGAAGGTTGAGTTCTGGTCGCATTTTTGAACAATTTATTATGATTTTAAATAAATAATTCCATTCTCGTGTGAAAATGTATAAAATATGTAGTAAGATTATTAAGTTCTAAAGTCACAAATGATTTCTTTCTTAACTCATTGCTGAAATTTAAATCGCAGTTACCTATTGAATGTGATCTGAAATGACCAAGCTGAGTATTATCATTAATATATATTGTTTAATATTACTTTTACATTATTACATTCCGTTGCAGGCGATCGAATTCTACGAAAACACCGAGAAAGAGTACACCATGCGAAGCAAAGTCGAATTTTTCTGCTGAACCACATCCTCCTTAGCGTTAACGAATCTAACTATCCTAAGACCATTGCAGACTTAGACGCCTTTTCTCGAGCATAATGTTTGTAGGTCTTTCGAGTCCCGGCTGTGCTTGCGAGTATTTTTTGCTATGTCTCTCCGAAATGGCTGCTCTTCATATTTTATAGGTTGCAAGGATGCAAGGCGTGTCCTATAAAATAGTTTATTTTCACACCTGATTCAGCATTGAACGTTTTTAATTAATCAGGGGATTAATTCATGATATTGCGTAATTTACGGTAAAATTTTTAAATTTTTCGCTGCAATGAAAGTTGCTGACAAAGAATTGCGGTTTTTTTTTAAATTCATTGAACCTTAATTAACAATATATGAATCTTCATGTAATTATAATTAGTTAATATTAAATAGGAAAAATATCGTTTATCAATCACCAGGTAGCGGCGTAGAAATTTAGAAATTCATTTTGCTAACTCCAAATGCTATTTATAATGTACATTTGTGGAGTAACGCTTATAAATAATACGCTCCTACTATCTAAACATTAGTTCAACATTTATTTCTGTAAGATCTTTTTAAAAATATTCCAGCCAACTTTATTTGCTTTACCTTGAGGCGATCCACTCAAGCATTTCATAATTTGTGAATTAAAGTTATTGTTGTTAGTTTTGTAACCAACAAACCTTTAGTAAAATCCGTTAGTTCAGAGTCGATGGTTTTTTTTACTAGACTGGATAATGAACATACTGTAGCTCAGTTCAATCGAATTGTTCACGGCGCTAGTATTCAAACAATAATGAATGTCGGCATTCATGATTGTGCTGCAGGAAAATTGTCACTCTCATTTGTAAGTGCTTGTTGCTTTTCTTCTTTACCAAAGCGAATTGTGTTTTTGTTCCCGTGACTGAAGAACGAAAACAGGATAAAATTTTTGTTTACGTATAGTGAGATGGCATAATGAATGGGTGTAAATTAAGAGGAATTCTTTGATCCTTTTATTATTTTCTGGTATTCGTTAAGCCTTAACTTTTTACTCTGCCTGGTGAGGGAGGGAGAATAGAGTAACGGGAGGATAGGGCAAACTGGGAGGGTAGGTAGGGCTAACTGAGAGGGTAGGGACAACTGGGAGGGTAGGGATAACTGGGAGGATAGGGATAACTGGGAGGGTAGGGATAACTGGGAGGATAGGGATAACTGGGAGGGTAGGGATAACTGGGATGGTAGAGATAACTGGGAAGGTAGGGCTAACTGGGAGGGTAAGGACAACTAGGAGGGTAGGGACGACTAGGGTAAGACGGGTAAGGATATCTGGAGGTAAACTTCATGCGGTAAATTCTAATTTTGGGAAAGGCAACTTACGGTATTTCCTTTGTACATATATTTGACTGTCATCCTATAATCGTTGATTTGAACCAAATCTTCAACAGATTTTTGAGTAACTTTTAGTTCTTAATAACGATTATTGACGGAATCAGAAGAGCTTCATCGGGATGAGTGATTAACAGCATCATGTTCACCCAGAGCTATCAGTTAACCTCTAACAAAAATCTTGTACGTACCTCAACAATGTTTCTACCTCTGACCTGCGTATGTAACATGTTTGTAAGTGATTGTTCTCACTGGCGACAATGTTAAAATTATTGTTATCACAGGCGACGATCATGAAATAATTGTTCGCACTGCCGACAATGATGAATGGTTTACACTGCTGATGTTGAGTAAATAATCGTTTGCACTTCTGGCGATGATGACAAAATAGTTTGCTAAACTAACGAGCGTGTTCATGCTACACGCCAATACGTTTTTACCGTTTTTCCCGACATTTACGACATGCCTGTGAGCTTTTAAAACGAAGTGCAATACTGAAATGGTGATGAAATATTTTTTACAGGAGATGACTTTCTGGTGTACTAGAGTGAGTAGAGTTGATATTTATGACCAAGAGTAGAGATATTTGAAGATTGTGTGTTATACGAGTTCCTTCTCTCTGCTACTTGCATGTAGCGAGTCTAAAATTGTTTTGGTTGGAAGAGTTGTTTTTGTGAAGTGTAGTCCTTGTTTTAATCGGTAGCTATTCAGTTAAGGATGCTGTATGATTATTAACAGTTGGCTGTTTTATACCTGAATGTGGTTAATTATATTTCGTTGTGATAGTATATTGTTTTACTCATATATTTTCAATTATTCCGTACGATAGTTGTATCGCTAATGATCCGTTCGATAGTAGTTCGTTAGCTTGTAAAGCCTTGTGTGAGTTTACGGGTTGCTTGATGTATATTTATATATGTTGAAGTTATCAAAGAGAAGAGGACTCGTGTAATGTTAGTCATGTTATTTAAGAATTATTTTAGGAAGTTTAAAGCATCTTTTTAAATTGATAATTTCAAGTTGTATCGAAGTTCCTTTAAGTTTATTTTAAATTTGACCCTTTAGCAGGCAAGTTACCATACATGATCACCTAAAATTTCTCCTTAGCGAGCAAGTTATTTTATTTTCACCTAAAATTTCTCCTCGAAAATACCCTCCATCTTCCCTGGTCTCTGTTTGGGATTACACCATCATTCCTCTGCCGATCATAAATCATCTGACCATCATTATCAATCATCAATCTGATGTAGCATCATTCCATACAATGCCCAAAAATAAAATATGAACATTTCTATTAAATTGAAGTCTTAACTCGGACAGCAATATTGACGCCAATTCCGCAATTTTTTTAAGATGAAATGTGCTATATGTTTTCAATCACATAAGGTAACTTGATGAAATTGAATTAAATTGAAGTTGAATAATTACTCCTTAAATTTGAATAATATCAATTTTTCGCATAGTTACTGCATTTGATAAATTCTTCATAAACGATTTACTCCTCCAGAATGCAAAATTTCGTAAAGATACATACAAGTAAATAAATCCCATAATATTGGTCTAGTTTCTTGTACTAGTTTTAGGATTTTTTGCACATTTCTAAGCATGCCCGCGAACGGGCTAATATTGGGACAACCTATGAACAATCTTGCATCAAAGAAACAACACAGTACCAGCATTAATACAAATTTTTTCCACCAAAATACGGGCTCTTGAGAATCGAAAGTTAAACTTATGAATAATATTATTGATACCAGCGAGTTGGCTATAATTTACCGATTTTGTTCACGGAGGCTTAAATGGATACCTGTAAAGTGACGCCACATTTCGTTCTCTCGTTCTGATGTATTAATTAAAACATAAGAAGTGTTTTTTCGTTCTGAACTTCTGATGTAGTAATTTACACACAAGAAGTATTTTTTCGTTCTGATGTATTAACACATACGAAGTGTTTTTCGTTCTGATGTATTAATTAACACATAAGAAGTGTTTTTCGTTCTGATGTATTAATTAACGCATACGAAGCGTATTGCCTGGCTCGGGAACGTGCGTGCTACCAGCCATCTTGCCTCACTGCTAGCGTGCTTCGCTTTAGTAGATGTTATGAAGTAAGTGCTAGTGAAAGTAGAAAAAACTCATAGGCCTCTGCATTATTAAGTTTATTATATTGATAAAGCGTAATGTAGTTTTCAAATTTTCGATGTCGCTCCCATTTTCGGGTCTGGCGACTCCAAATCTCTGGTGCCTACGAATCAAAAATCGTTTCATCTCGATTTAAATCCTGAAAACCAAAGCGCTCTATTTTTTTTATTCTTTTTCACCAATTCGTGCACTGAAAATTACAGACGATTGTGATTTGATTAAAAATTTTATTAATTCAGTTGGAGTTACTAGAACCGATTAATAGATTGAGGCCATCGAAGGTTTGATTTAAATGGATTCCATTCTTGTTCGCGATGCCATTTTAATTCATGTACGATATTATATATTCCCTAGAGGGTATGTATTATTCATATATACGCAGCCCACTGTTTGGAATATCCAATTAGAATATTTTATCACTAAAAGCATTTGATATACGTGAGGTTTATTGTCATTAGAGTGAGTCTCATTTATTTTCTAACGTGAAAATGGTAAGCGATATTTTCTTTGCTCTCTTTTGGTTGTTGATTACTCTCGTAATGCTCCACCTATGACAATGTTTGTTAACATTTAATGGTTTTTCTCTGCCTCTCACTGCGATGGTAATGCGTGGCAATCGGTTTCATCTCATGAAAACTTGGATTTAAGTAATATTTCGTCTAATTGACACTAGACAGCTAATTTATCTTGTCGGATGCTCGTATTAGATGATTTTAAGTAAAGATTTTCAAAAGTATTTGATTGGTTTCACGGAAATTTAGCTCAGTCTAACCCTCTTGCGGTTTTTAATAACGAACATCTTCTGCACTAAAGTTCGATTTTATTTGTAGTCAAGCAGTATGGGGATATTGCAAGAACCCCATGCAGTAGCTGAGTTCTCCGTAAAGTTTACACAAGTTTACTTGATCCTTCTCAAGTTTTGATGTTAGGCAGTTGGTGTGCGTTTCTTTGTTTTTTTTTTTTCATCAGTTGAAATGATGTTTGCTACTGCTAGTAAATTTCTAGTGTATAGATTATCTTAGCTTCAAATAAATACTTTATATTTATGCATAGAAGTATCTATTTATGGCGAGAATGTGTTGGTCATGTTATAAGGAGCTGGTAAGAATTTGTTGGAAGGTTAGTTAAACACGGAGTAGCTTCTATGTATAGTTTCTAAGGTTATTTCACAGAACTGTTCTATACATAAGAGTTTATGTGGCTGAAGTTTTACTTTTTGAGTGAAGATGTTCAAAAAAATTAATTTAGATGTCAGTTTTGTTAGTAAAATGTTTATTGTTCGAATATCGCATTGAAGAATGTGGCGTTAGCAATGAAATGGGCTGGTATACTGTTTAAGCTAAACTTGTTGAATCTGTAACGGAGCTTAAATTTTAAAGCGTAAACACTATCTAATATTTAAAAGAAAAATTATGAATCAGGGATCGATATTTTGCATTGTTAACTTAAATTTACATGTTATATCCAGAATTTTTAATTATTGATAAACTTGCCATTTAGTGTTGACTATTGTCATGCCTCCTTAGGGCTGTTGATTATTAGGGCTGTCCAATACCTTAGGCCTTCTCAGAGTAGACCTACCGGGGGTGCTTTACGAGCTACTTCCCGTCTGATCATTTAGAAATTGTATCAATTATTTGTGTATTATATAATTAGATTGTTTTGTTGCTCATTCCTTTAAATTGATTGATTAGTATTGTCTTTAAACATAAAAAATTCACAAGAATATCTTTTTGAAATTAGTTGTATTGAACGCAATTACTAAACAATTTAACTGTTTGAAGTTATCCCGAATTCTTAATGAAATGGTAATTTTGATTGTAATTTGTAATACGAATATCCTCCGGCACGCTAATACTAATAAAACAAGGGCAATAGTAAACGTGCATAGTCTATAATTGTTATTTGTTCAATGTTTCCATCCAAGTTTATGGCTAACTTAATCAAAATAATAAGAACGAAGTCTTCTTCTGACGTAAATATGAACTTTCGAACATGATTTTCAATTCAACCTCTTATTGTTGCAAGTCGAATTTTATAGTTAAATTATAGCCCAGATCGAAGTACATGCAATGCTACGTGCAATGCTATGGCACATCAACTAATTGTAAAGATGGCAGGACACTAATAATTTGTAGAAGATTTAATTATAAATATCAAATTAATTTCAGGTGCCATATTTTTTGTTAGCGTGCGGTAAATGATACGGACAATAAAAATATTTCGAGTAGAATAAGTTTATTTACACGATTAACGTCAAAATTCGACAGCGTTTACTCTGTACATGACAGCATGTATGCCTACGACGCAAGCTTTACATAATTATACGGAGGGTGTACAATTATGTACATTAACACCTTCCGAGTTCATTCACTCTTAAATAATACATACGATACTCGACAATTTGTGAAGTTTCCTAATAATGCACAGGGTTGTAATATGAATGTTTGATCATTCAACACAGCTTCCTGGTAGAAGGTGTGCGAGATCAAGAAGTCTAATTCATTCATACGCAAGTATTGATTTGATAACGTTGATTATTATAAACATTTCATACCACAATCAATGCCGTAATATTTTGCATATTGTTAACATCGCCTTGCAGGTTTCCAGTACGAGTCAATTTACTTACAATTAAGAAAACTTTATTCAAATCATTGCATTCGTCTTAAATTTTACAAAAAAATCCAATCATATGCAAAGTTTAGGTAGCATGCATTTTTAACATCAGCGCTACAAATATTTGGGAAACTATTGTTTCAGTTATATAGTTTCAGTTACCTAACCGATTGGTCAGTGTTAGCTGAAGTTGTATTATATATTGTCTAACAGCTTACCATTAGAATGGAATAGATGCAATTTTTCTAACTTCTTCATCGTGTTGAATGACGTTCCTCATTGCTGATATTTAAAAAAAAGTAAAAAATCCTTCATAATCTACTATTTCACGCGTTGAACCAATACTGTGCAAGGTTGAAGCAAGTGCGTGACAAACATAATTTGTTCAAACGAGATTATGTCAAATTCATTGCAATTTTTAATTATCTCTAGATCTCAAAGCCAGTCGTAAAATAAGAGCTGCATTACTGTTTCTTTAGTATAAACATGCAAAAATGTCGTTAATATTACGTTAAGAAAGCTACGAATAAGTGAGATCAAAGGCTCGGCACAGTCCCACGGAAGGAACTTTTACTACAATTCGTTCCAAACATGAGCTACGAATGCCGGAGTTAACAATTTAATTAATAAAAATGCTGTATTTTGAGACGAAGTTCACTAAAGTCAAGTATCAATTTCGAGGGATGAATTTTCTATGTCAAACAATTCGCTACATGAAATTATTTGGTTCACTTCATGAATCAAATCTGTCCAGTAAATATTTGGGGGCGACGACGCAACATTTCCCATCGCCATCACAGTTCAGTGCTAACTTCTTCTCTTCCTGCCAATTGGATTATATTTTTACCTTGGAACGATGTCAACGTTTCTGCTGATTGGCGTCCGTTGACGTAAGAAGTATTACCGTTCGGCGATGTTAGTGAGGATTTATTATTTGTTGTTGATACAGGAGAGAAACTCCCGCTCAATTTAGCTACCATATTTCCGACATGGCCGTTCTTATTTACAATGTTATTCACGAGCATCCCATTATTGGTATTAGGGTAGCTATAGCGAGAGGTCGAGTTTGAACGCTGCAAAGAGTGCGAGCGAATAATGCTACCATTTTCATTGTTGTTACTCGCATTTCCGCCGTAGTTACTAATCGGCCTTCCATTACTATTGAAACTCCCATTCATGGTGGGATATTCAACAATTGTCTCATGCACGTTAAGAGGATGATTAGTAAATGAATTATCAGATATATTTGTGGTACTTCCACGGGTTGTTTTTCTAACGTCGTGTAACGGGTTTTCACTAATCGGCACTCGAGTTGCTCGATATCCATCCTTGTCAGTTATCTGCGTTAAAATTGAACCCTGTGCGTAGTAATCATTGGGGATGCCTCCGTGTACGCTATGTGGTCGCGTTCTCAGGTTCGGTTTCCTAGGTGGCAACATAGGTTTGTTATTTACATCAGACCTCGAGCCCGTAGTGATGCTCGACGTAAGCGAGCTCAGTAAGCTGTCTGATGAAAGCTGCTGGCTGCTGCCGTCACTGCCAAGATGGTCTGACTTGCCGCTATCGTGGGAAGCGAATGAGGAATTGTTGTGCCCTGAATCCAAAGAATACGGCGATGGCTCGTCTTCCTCCATTATCGTTGTTGATGTCTGAAATATAAGTGGTTAATGAAAACATTTGAAATTAGGTAGTTGGAATAAATTCCACAGTAATTAAACATTCCTTTCTCACTGTTAGATAAGGTTTAGGGCACAATTAATCAACTCAAGTTTGATTACGGACAGTTTGAGATAAAAAGTCTTTCCATTCTAAGTTCTGGCCCACCGACGCTACATTAATCGATTTGGCATGGTAATTAGGTCTTCTCTCTGAAGTATATGCATAAAGAGTTAATGTCATTTATAAAATAATAGCTGCATTCTATTATAAATGACACCGGAGCCCCTCTCGAAGTCTTCAGTTCAGGTAGTACTGAATTGCTCATCACTGGATTCAGATTTAATTACCGATATCGATGCGGTGACTTGGGCCCGAACCCTGAAGAAGTTACGAAGAGAATTGTTTGGTGTTGCCATTGAAATTTAAACAGCAGAAAATGAAACATGCAATTGAAGCGCATACGTGCTGCTCTATTTACCATGCAGGGTGACTGTAAAATTAAATGTTTTGAAGTGCATGCCGTCACGTAGAACGTCAGGTGAAAGTAAACCTTCAGTTTGTCGTGCTGAAGAAACCATATCGAATTTGAGTCAAAGTCCTTTCGTCGAAAGAAGTGAACACAAAAATAAAATTAGCTGTCAAGTCAACTTGAACACACTTATAATGACATACTTCTTCAATTCATACTTCAAAATTTTTGTTGTTGCATACAACAATATCGGCGCATGATGGCACTTAATTCAATTTCCATCTCATTCACATCAAAATAACAGAAAAGCTTATGAAGAACCAACACTATTCGCCGAACCAAACATTCATCCATGTTGACAAAATATAAAGCTTGCACTTTTTTATGCGCAAGGAGAATTTACATTTAAACCTTTGACTTTACTCTCCGTACATCTCCTGCAGCGGTTGTGTATCGGCGTGACGGCTGCCGGGGCCATGCTTCAGCATGCCTGACCAGCACACACTTTATTTTACATGCGCTTGCGTGCTAAACTTTCTTGGATATTCGTTCCCGTCCTAGAATATACATATTTTAAATCTTAGTTTATTAAACCATTGTTCAGAACTGAAGAACCCACAAAAATTCTTTAAATGGCTAACTTCCTAACTGTCCAATACTATATTTTCAATAAATATCAAATAAATCTGCAGTAAAAGAAAACCCAATTAAATTCCTTCAATGGCAGAACGCGGGCGACATCTCTACATTTCTTTGAACTTACTGAAGAGCACTCTTGATCTTTGGACTTACTGTAGAGCACTCTTGATCTTTGCACTTAGTGAAGAGCACTCGTGATCTTTGAACTTACTGAAGATCACTCGTGATCTTTTGACTTACTGAAGTGCACTCTTGATCTTTGGACTTACTGAAGAGCGCTCTTGATCAAAGGTCCAAGAATGAGCTCGAGGCTGCCAGCGCTGGCGTGATGTCCAACACCGCTGCTGGTGCTGCCACTGCTACTGCTGCTCGAACTCGTCGGACCGTCACTCCTCTGTTGAAATGTCACGACTCTCACGCACGCATCTCAAGTCTCACACAACGCCCAGCAAAAGTTGTGTTATTAACCCTCTACCGCCTGACATGAGTAACCGGAGCAATATCGTCACAAGCCTACTTCCCAAAAAGGATACGTTCTAGTGAGCGCAAGATGACTTGCGCTGATGGTTGCCGCCACGTACGACAACTTTAAAATGTTCTTTATTCCGTACAAACGTCCTCAGGCTGCTACACTCAATAGTTTATGTATAATTTAAGTTGAAAGTTATGTTCCCGGAGAGTGGCATACGGCGGTAGAGGGTTAAATCCAAAGTAAATGTCACGACTCTCACGCACGCATCTCAAGTCCGACACACCGCGGCATTAGCTGCAAAAGCTGCTGAATAATTCTTTTAAAAGTCGAATCACTCCATGCCGGCGTCGCTCTAACAACCTTTACTTTTTTGCAAACGATTTGCATATAAGCATCTTTTTCGTATGAAATCAATTCATAACTTCTCCAACACGTCAAAATTTGAATTTTGTCTTCTAATTTCACTCAAAACTGTCGGTTTGGTTTGTCATTTATCTGCGAGTTTTTATCGTAGTATTTTGTTGAATTTAGTCAGTTGATGCCAATGCATAAGCAACCAGCGGTTCCAATGATATGCTTCTAGCTATAAAAATGAAAGCAGGGTGCAGAGTGAATAACTAATAACCTAAATCTAGAATGAGTGCATAAATTTGGCTAGCTAAAAAACTATCATAATTTTATTTTAAACGAAACGAGCAATGAATAATTTTTCCAGTTAATGGATTCATGCTTGAATGAAAAAAGAATGCAAAACGAAAAATACACCTTGAACGAATTCCAACGGAGAAAAAAAAATTGGACAAAAAATGCAATGAGTGTGCAGTGCACTTACACCAAGGATTTCAGTTGTGCAACACAGAGAGTGACAGTATGACGTTACAGATGAGGCACTAAGTTAAGTAACTAGCAAAAGCGAAGCAATACTCACTTGGCGACTTAACGTAGAACGCCCAGAAGCTCCACGGCCTACTGAGTTATTCCACACTCTGCTGTTATGACTTGGCTCCTTGTTAGTCTCCCTATGCATCTGCGGTCCACAGTTAACTGGCGACCGCCAATCATTATTCGAAGATAGAGCGTGAGCAAAGTTAGATCGCCCAAGCTGATGATAGTCGCCTAAGTTAAGAGTGTTTAGAGGGGTTTGTCCTTGTGTCCATGTACTGAGAGTCGAGTCCTGTGTAAATCGTTTATTGTTTTCTGAAGAAAAAGTGCGAGCGTCTTTGTAGGCGGATGCGTCACAAGAAATTGAAAGCTTTGAGGTAGAATCAGCCAGACTAGTGCAAGCAGGACCAACTGAACCAGAATAAGCTTTTACAGCATTATTATGAGGGAAACCATTAGAAATGTTACGATTGGAATCCAAAGCAGGAAGACCAATGGTATTGTGATTAGATGAGGCGAGATTTGGAGATGCGGTTGATCTTAATGCGTTTTCACGATTGATATTACTGGTGAAATGGGTGTTAGCATAAGCAGGACCGTACGATTGAACGATGTGAGTGGTTGAATCATTATTTAGTACAGATGAAATAACCGAACTTCTTGGTAAGGGAACTGGCGCTGGAGAACAAGAGTTGCTAGCTGCCCGCTCTGAGTCGTGATAACGTATGAGGATGTTGGTAGAATGTTGTGTGTAGTGGTCGACATTTGAGTAAAAGTTCGGAGTCTTCGAGTGTAGATTATTGAGCTTGTAATTGTTGTGCTCTGAATTTATGTATTGATTGCTAATGTCTTGACCAGTGTCGTGACTTTCATCGAGTGTCGAATCACATCCAGAAGGATTAGATGAATTACAAAGATCCGAAGAAGTGTGAGTATTGAAAAATGCTTCAGCACGAACGCTGTTGCAAGGATTATAGAAAACGTGGTCGTTGTCACGGTCATTTGGAGGCGGAGAAGAGGATGAGGGAGATGAAGTACTCAAGTCGGAGGTTTGAATGAGGTTGGGTTTAGGGGAGGCCGCAATGAGAGGAGACTCGGCTGAGGTACTCACGCTGGAGCCTCCAATGCTTATGCCTGAAGTCACTGAAGATTGGGGACTCGGTTGCGGTCTGAAAATATAAACAATATTCATTGTTTTCCTGAAAAAATGGCATTGATATTAAAATATCAAATTTTTGCTAATAGCTAGCAACCCTTATAAACGACCTCTTCAGGGATTCATGGCACAATATTTGTTGGGCACATTTTCGACTAAGTTACTTAAATCATATTTAATATCTAGACAAGGCTATGGATAAACAGCGTTTTATAATTTAAGCATACATTTCCTAAAGAATTAACTAAGGTCAGGTCTAAGGAAAATTTTCAGTTATTTTCTGTAATTAATAACTCACTTGTTTATTGAGCTACCCCGAGTGCCGCGCTCTAGCGTCGATGGTTTGAGGTAAGGCGCACTTGAAGGTATAAAATTAGTCCGGCTTTGAGAATCATTTGGGTTGCTATTGCCATAGCCATTTCCAACATACTGCTTGTCTCCGTTAATATTATCAGGGTTGCAGGGACGACGAGGATTTGATATGCTGGGATGAGAAGGGGGAGACGGGGAACAGTTTATATCGCTGCTGAAGCTGTTGCTGCTGCTAGAGTCAGGTCCGTGGTATGTTGTGTAGCTCGTATTATCGTTCAGGAATCCGTTGCTCGTGACGATATGCTTCACACTTGGGCTGCTGTTAACCACCGGCTTGTGGTGGCTGAAAACAAACATTAAAAAACTTATTTTGCGTCTCCAATTCCTTGCGTTACGGCAAGTGATGGATGAGAGTGAGTATCAAATCACCGATTTCGCATATCATTCCAGAAGTTATGGGCAGTGAAAATTAACCTATTTTCCATATGAACCGAAAAATCATTGCTGTTTTCGCTCATTTCAAAATGCATAAATGAAAAAAAACTTATCTACAAGCAATATATACAACATGAAAATCCATATTTTACTAACTTGAAATTTGTCATGTGATGCGAGTTGCCATCCACTCGACTCAGCCCATGGGGGTTGTGGATGTACCCTGGGAAGTTGAGTGCTGACCGACCATCGTAGGGAAGAGAGGCAGGCTTTTGGGGTTCGTACTGTACGAGTGGTGGCACGGAAACCGGGGGAGGAGGTGGAGTAGAAGATTCACCACTGAAAACGAGATATTTTAGTATCTACATTTCATAATAACTAAAAAAATTAAATGAAATAAACTTCCAAGTTGAAATAAATTGAGATATATGAACTTCAACGAAATTCGCGAAATTCGCAGGGCACCAAAGCCATAGAAAGGCTGTGTTTTTAGTTTAACCTTTCGTATTTCTCCGAAAAATTCTCTTGCATCTAACCAGCTTCTAAGAAAATTCTTAGAATTTTCATCAATTTAATTTTTTCGAGCAAAAGGAAGGCTTAAAGTAACCTAATTGTTTTCTTATTTTGTCATCGGAGTTGATACAAATCAATGTGATGCAAACCCGTCCCATCATTCGAAAAAATATCATGCATCTATTTTAAAGGAAAAATACAGCAAAATCAACACATCATAATTAGTTTGAGAAACTAGGAATGAATGAAAGTCATCAGAAATTAGATGTCAGCATAAAAGTGTGCTGCCACATGCTCGTCGAAACTCGCTCAAGTACACGTAGCGGCTGATTTCTCGTCTGTAATTGGTGGCTTAAGCTTTAAAAGCCGTCAGTGGCGATACAATCGCATGATTATGGATATATTAACTTTGATATAAACATCTTAACCTCTAAAGTCTAAACTCTACGCGGAGTTACGCCCACCTCGGAGCCACACGAGGATAAGCTCCGTGGGCGAGCGTGACTGGGCGCATGTCTTCTGGCGGGTCACCACGCGACTGCCCTTCCACTTTGCGCTCTTCTGATGCGCTTTTGTTTTTTCTGCGGCTGGTGCTGTTGTGGTGATGGGGCTTCTAGGAAGTAAGATTTGGATATTATGGTTAAAAACGAGAGGCTAACAGTGAGAGTGAAGAAATTAAGCATGTAGAATAGGTTTAGTGGACACTTGAAACGTTTCTCTATACTGACATATTGATCTAAAATTTTACACAATTAATAAAAAAATGGATGCTTTGCAAACATCATCTTCCAATTTTCTACTAACTTTAGTTGAATCCTGAAAAGATGGCGGCGGCGATTCTCCGTCCGGAGGCGCCAGTTTTCGATCGCTCGAATTGCTGCAATAAAACGGGGGCGTAAGGATTAATCACGTGAAATGATGCTTTTCTTGCACGTCATTCAAACATACCTCCCAAAGACAGTGAGGCGAGATCAATCACGTGAAATGATGCTTTTCTTGTACGTCACTCAGACATACCTCCCAAAGACAGTGAGGCGAGATTTGGTTAAGTAATGGAGAGAAATAAAAATATGATCATGAACCCGAAAAATGTTAGACTTCGTTTTTAGGCTTTGAAGTCATCACAAACATCGCACAAAAAGTGGTTTCTACTGTCCTTACCATTGTGTTAAAATTTGCAACAATAAATTTCAACTTCACACATAACCTGTAAAATCCTATCGTGCGAGTCTCACCTTTTAGATCGTCTGGGACTTTTGTTCTTCTTGCCATTTCCGGTCGAAGCAAATTTAGTTTTGATATTCGTAGCAGTCTCGACCCTAGTGTAAGGAATATCTCTCAGCTCTGCTTCAGTAAGCCCACTGGTATCTTTTAAACCGTAGTCGATGTGCTGACGTATCTCTGTTGGATATCTGCTGTTCTTTGCCTCACTCGGTGAGCGGGACCTCGAACTGTAAAATAAGGGTGTGTTAGCTAAAAAAATATAGAGTGTTGAAAAATAACCTATGTTCATTATAAATCAAAGGCACACATTTTATTTCAACGCCATGAACGAGTACCAGTTAGATTCTGTTTTGTCAGTTGCATTTCTAAACCTTTTCTTAGTTTGCACTGAATACAAAACTTTCCTGCAATAATGACAAAGAATGGCCCAAGAGAAAGAAAGAAGCAACTACTACCGTTTTCTATCAAGAAGAGTTATGACACCAATCAGTAAAAATGAATCGGCTTCGTCAATTGGATACACCAGCGCAACAGATGAATGTTAACCTCACTTGTATTTCCTACGTCGGCCTAATATTCAATAGTTCATAGATAGAAGTGAACACCCAGCTGTGCTTCGTGTCGTTACCTAACACTTAATTATTTTTTGTAAAACTTTAAGTCTACCTTGTTTACGGTGCCAATTATAGATTTAACTGATATCAGGAGCAGCAACTGGAATACACCTGACCTGTCTGCGTGTGCTTAACTTTCAAAGAATACAGGGGGACTTAACGATTACCTTTTCACTTACACTGATTTCAGTGGAAATAGATTGCGGACCAAAGCAGGCACTCGCCTCTATTTCATGTGCTTGCGCTTGCCGGACTTGTGTTATGAGGACCAAAGCGGACACCTAACACCTGTGTTCTTGTGTCTGCGTTTGCCGGAATAGTTGTGAGGACCAAAATGGACACCCACCTGTGTTTCCTGCGTCTGCGATTACCGGAGTCGTATTGCGCAGACAAAATCGAATACTTACCTGTGTTTTCTGTGTCTGCGTTTGCCGTAGTAGTTATGAGGACCAAAGTGGACATCCAGCTGTGTTTCCTGTGTCTGCGATTATCGGAGTCATNAGAAAAGAAACCTAGTAATAGAACAGCTAAAGCCCAACAATAAAGAGTCTAAGAATGTCTAGGGGCCTACAGGCTTCTACGTGGATAATGATAAGTCTAGCAACTCAACGTCTACACCTGTCTCTTATACACATCTAGATGTGTATAAGAGACAGATATTCATCACTATAAACGAAAAACGCGACTGGGGAAAATACAATCAGAAATGCCGTTTGCTCTACCTTCTGTGTCCTCTGGAGTCAATGGAAGATTGCGAGTCAACGCTGGACGTGCGACGGCTCATGCGAGACTCGGCCGTGACTGCGGCAGCGGCTGATCGGACGCTCCTCGGACTCTCGGTTCGGTTACCGGGACCTCGGGACTCTGAGCGCGACTCTGTCCTGTTTACAGGTTTGTTCTCATCCAGTTTTGCTCGATTTATGGGAGGGACTGAAGAGGAAGAAGAGGCTTGCTGAGGAGCAGATCTGATGCTTCGAGGAGATGAAGGTCCTCGGCCATTGAGAGTCATCGATGAGCTTCGGTACACGTTTGAAGTCGTACTGGAAAAGAAGGGTTATGTTTCATTGGTTATATTGGGACTCCCTTAATAATGTTACAAAATTACGTAGTAAATGAGAGGTGATGCTGCGGTCCATTCTCGTTCATAATTCAACAATTTTGAGTGAAGCTTCGCAAACAAGCATTGATTATTTGTGTTAATATGGAAAAAAGTTCATGGAAAGCTGTAATTGGTTAATTGTTTTCGAGTGAGTGAAGTGTGGACTGAAATTCTTTTTAACTTCAAGACAATAGAAAAAGCGAAACTGAAAATTGCAAATTTTTCCCACTAGTGCCCGAGCAGGGTCTTGAGCAAATTTTAAATTGACATCGAAAAGAACTATTGATATTCTAGGACGATTCAAATCGAACTTTCATGAAGCAATTTCGTATGTTTCTAAAGAATTGATGCCACCACTACATTTCAAAACGCACATAACGGCGGACATTCACGAGAGGTAAAACGACATAAACGGAATCCAAACAAGTTACTCACGATGGTGCGACATGTGAAGACGAAGTCGTCGGTAGTCGGGGTTCAATTTTAGGGTCAGCATCTTCAATACGGGGAGCTGAAAAGAAAGAAAGATAGAAAGCTATCAACCATTCTATCGCTATATAATGAACCCTGATGGCAAATAAGAATAGAACTATCATGTAGTGCGTTTACTTATAAACATATACTTTCGTGAATAGGCGTGTTTAAATTTACAGTATGCATTTGAACACGTTTTGTACTAATCAAATTTTGCTTGAATAGGCATATGTGTTCCGCGGTATGATGATGGAAGTGTACAAAAAAATAATAAACTAAATCTGTAGGGGCACTCCACAAGAATGCCCAGAATAAGCCCACGAAATTATTTAGAGGATGTAAAAAGATTTGTTTTAAATGCAATGCAATCATTTCATTTTCATACCTTTAGTGATGATCCAGCACCGAAATGCTTCTAAGCAGCGTGGAAGTAAATGAAAATATTTTCGTGTAAATATATAGAAAAAAGTTGCAAATGAATTTAAATAGTTCAACAAATAAGTTTTCATGGCAAGAATTTGTTGCCGTCATTATGCATTCAAATATAAACAATACAGGAATTTTTAGGCAAGTCAAGAAGTAATTTGAGAAAGAGCAATTGCGCTCACCTATGGCGATTTTGAACAAAAATGAACAAAGTTGTTGACCTCAGAGCGAATCACCGCTGACATTAATTTCAAATATAATTGTGTAGTCTTCTTAGCTACGTAATTAAGTAATAATTTGAAGAAGGTACTGAGTTAGTATGATTTTCTTCTCAAAGTAGTACTTCGCAAACTAGCAATTTTAGGAAGGTACTGACGAAAAAAAAATATAACTCAGTACTCACTGCAGTGAGTGACAGAGAGCGCATTTTCTCGTCGACGAAAACTTGAGGTCACGGACAGACGGACAGACAGACGGATATGGCGAGCACAATAGTGCATTTTTTCCATAAATGAGAAAATGCGCTAATAATATTTAATTAGAGTAGGACTGAATGGAAATACTCACTGTCCACAGCGCCCTCCACGACACGCCTCTGGTAGCGGCGTGAAGGAGTTCTGGACACCTCAGGCTGCTGTCTGCAGGAGCTACGAGCTTCCTGCATCACTTCCTTCTCGGTCCTGCCGCTGAAATAACAGAGAATGAGTTACAGTTGCAGACTGAAAAGAGACTGTTACAGAAAGAAAATATAGAGAATGAGTTGCAGTTGCAGACTGAAAAGAGACCTGTCTCTTATACACATCTAGATGTGTATAAGAGACAGGCCGTACGTGTTCTCCGAGTTCTGAAAACACAGCACGCTCAAAAAGTGTAACAATGTTTGCAAACTAACACGATAAAATTAGCCCTTCGTGTTCTCAGAGTTCTGAAAACACAGACACGCTCAAATAGTGTAACAATGTTTGCAAACTTACACGATACAGTTAGCCGTACGAGATAATAAAAACAGAAATAGTTAGCCGGTCTGAATACACAAAACCGCTCAAATAGTGCAGCGATGTTTGCCAACTTACACGTTATCTTTTAGTGCGCACATGAATAGAATCTGAGCACTAATATATGGATGTGTAATGATGCAAAGACCATTTCTGTAAGGTTGTTAGTTACAAATTAGAAGACGTCAAAAGGAAAGCGTTCTTACGAGACTATACCGTGCGTTAGGTCAGTCGTCAAGAATCCATTGAAAGCTTCTAATTGCCTATCTTCAAAATAATCATTTGTCGAATCTGGAATAACACGACAATGAAATTTTGATTTGATAAGCATTGAATTAATCTTCACCTGTATCTAAATTTTGATCCCAGCGAGAAGACGGCTTGAGGTCCCGAGCCAGCGCTCTGCGTGAGGCGGAAGAAAGCATGATGCTCCACGCAGCACTGCCAGAGGTGCTTACACGCAGCACGCGATGGCGTCTCAAAGCCGTACGTGTTCTCCGAGTTCTGAAAACACAGACACTCTCAAAAAGTGTAACAATGTTTGCAAACTGGCTCGATACAGTTATCCGTACGAAAAAAAAAACACAAATAATTAGCCGGTCTGAAAACCCAAACACGCTAAAAAAGTGTAACAATGTTTGCAAACTTGCACGATACAGTGAGCCGTACGAAAAAGAACACAAATAATTAGCCGGTCTGATAACACAAAACCGCTCAAATAGTGCAGTGATGTTTGTCAACTTACACGTTATCGTTTAGTGCGCAAATGAATAGAATCTGAGCACTAATATACGGATGTGTAATGACGCAAAGAATTTTTCCATTAGACCATTTCCAAGATTTGTTCTTGACAAACTAACTGATAGAAATGAATAAGAAGCAGTTTTCTCTGATTTTTATGCGATTTGATGAACATTCACATATTCTAGGTACCGGATATGTAAACTGCATGAATCGTTTTAAATATTGGCATAAAAATTCATATTAAAAGAAGCAAATTGTATCAAAAATATGTATAGAAACACTCGCAGGGCTCTGAAGAAATAAATGAAATAAACCATCAAATACTTACATTTTTATCGCGAACTCTGAGCATGAAGAATCGGCCTCTGAAGTAAACTTTCGAGATGCGAGGCCTGCAAGATACAGAGATGATATTGCACAATCTCAGGAATAATTATTCAAGTAATTGGGCATTCGTCAAGCTACCGAACTTTCAACGGCAACACCTGATATAGTATTATATATGCACATTTTACAAGCCCCCAAAACGCTCTTGCCATTATAGAAGATGCATATATATAGATACGCAATAAAATTAATGAACGGGATTTGACCGATGCTTGTAAAATAAACGCACATTTTACAAGTCTCCAAAACTCACTTGATGTGTCTCAGAGAATGTATAGATACACAGTAAAATTACTCAATGGGATTTGACTAATACTCACCAAAAGTAATTGCCAACTTTAGTTTTATTCCTGAGGACGATTGCTCCAGACGGGGTGAGTCCAAGAAAATATTCAATGTTGTCTTCACCCTGTAAACGACAGAATTAATTAAATAATTAGTAAATGAATTAACAACAAGCAATTAATGGCAATTAGTAGACAAATTATTATATTACATCGGTGAATTAAAAAAGATGTTACGAAAATTCACCACATTTTGAGTGATAAATTTATCAATGAAAATAAGATTTTTTTTCTAGGAAATTTCTTTGCTTTTATTAATACGGCGTCACCAAAAAATACTTTGCTGTGCGCGTACATGCTGATACAGAAGTAAATTCGACCCTCATCATATATTATTTCGAGCGCATTGCAACCCGGGGGCGATGACTGTTACGGACTTATGAACTAATATAAAATTATGTTGGTAATAGTAAACTGAAAATTCTTTCAATATCCTTGTCATCCATTCAGGGCACGAAACTTTTTTTTTTTTTGCAACACTCCAAAATACTGGGCAACACACCTAACTATTGCAACCTTATTGATTTTTGAAAAAAATTTCAAACCCCATCCAATAGCTTGAATGAAAATATGATATTTTTGATTGGAGAACTTTGCTCTAGAAAAAATGGAAGAATAAAATGTGCTGCATTCAATTTCCATCAGCTAATTACGCATCCATTCATCACAAGGTGCTTTACGGTCAAATATTCTACTCAGTACTCACTGCAGTGAGTGACAGAGAGCGCATTTTCTCGTCGACGAAAACGCAAAGTCACATACGGACAGACGGACGGACGGACATGGCGAGCACAATACTGCATTTTTTTCATAAATTAGAAAAAGCGTTAAAAATATAACTAGCTCTAGAAAAAATGGAAGAATAAAGTGTGCTGCAAGTTCCATCAGCTATAATTACGCATCCATTCACCGCAAGGAGCGGTACGATCAAATATTCTACTGGATGTAGGACTCTGTATGCTTTACAGAAATTATGCTGTAGCATAAATAGAAAAAAGTCAAAACAAATAAGATGGCGCAGCAATACTGGTGGTGGCCGCAAAGACGTGGAACTAGTTTATGGTGCGAGAGGTCATCTGGTTAATGATAGGAAGAACGAAGCCTACGGCATGGCGTTCAGCTGGAAAATAAAACTTGAGCTCATTTGCTCTAAACCGAAAAAAATGACTCTAGCAGCGAGCCCACGCCGTGTGATGACCTGTCAATTAACTTGGGCCCGAAATGGTTCTTTCAAAACTAGTGCTAACTTAAGACAATGGAGGCATGCAACGTGTAGGTAAAATTCTAAGCTTGAATTGAAAAACTAACATGAATCGGGTAAACAACATACATAAATTTTTGGCCACTTCCACAAACAAGTTAAAGCTACTGTAATCAGAGAACAAGGCTCTTTAAATACAGTTACTGCCGCTTGAAGTAAAACAATTGAAGGAATGCTCTAGAAACTGTGAGACAATAATAGCGCTAATTAGCAAAGTACTAGAGGTTCTAGCCATCTCCTTCAGAAAGAACACATAAAAAGACAAAGAAATTTGTTTTTTGAACTAGTATTGGCCGACCGAAAAGTTTTTTTTACCAGTAAAAACGTCTTTGATTTTTAGCTGTTAACCTTTGAAAGAAAAGAAACCTAGTAATAGAACAGCTAAAGCCCAACAATAAAGAGTCTAAGAAAGTCTAGGGGCCTACAGGCTTCTACGTGGATAATGATAAGTCTAGCAACTCAACGTCTACACCAAGTAACAACGAAAATTGACCGTTCGAGACAAAACTTCCCTAGACGAATTAAAGACATCTGCTTTAAAAAAAAGTATTATAAAAATAAGATGAAGAATGAAAAAGCAAATGACTGAGTACTGATCCGACGAGTACTATCATAATATTTGCGCGAACATTTACACACGACACTGTAGTACATAAAATAAGTTATAACACTATTTCGAAGAGAATAAGTGACAGTAACCAACGAAATACTGCTAGTCACCTGTACCAACTGGATTCCAAATGAAGGAGCAAGCAAATAATGTTCGATGATTCATGTTTATTTCATGCAATGTGCATTACTGAATGCTAAGTATGGCCATGCCTTTATGGCAAGGTAATTGTTATTCCATCGATTAGTCGAGCCCAAGCTTGGCGGCGAGGGTCCAATTCGGTCCTTTTCTCGACAGCCCCGCGGACTTGCGGTCTTCTCCCCTTAATCAAAGTGACCGCAGGAATGCTAAACCCGTTTTGCCACAAGACTAACATTACGAAATTTACCAACGTCGCCCAAGCATCAGAACTGATTGTCTTCCAGAAGCTTGTATCTCTGTCAGAAATAGCTAAGTTGGAGAAATGTTGTTCTTAGACTGAAAAGATGACTTACTACGAGAAAAATATATTTGCAATACTAAACCGTAAAAAATCAGGTATCGAGTCCAGTAAAAATGGAGTTAAAAAAGTATCATAAAATTTCGTTTCAAGAAAAATTAAATAAAAAACTTATAAAAAACAAAAATTTCAAATGAATATTTAAATTTGAAAAAGTACAGGTCATTTATCTTGCTGGAAACGTTCAGCGCATGGAACATCTGAGCATTATGGATGGGACATAGATGCATTTTTCATGAGGTACTTAATGAAGGCATTTAAAAGATATTATATCTGATGGAAATCGGTCTTGATCTACGAAGAAAAGAAAAAAAAGGTAAAAGAAGAAAAAAGATATAAAGTTCTGCATCTGATACAAGTCAAGAGCAGTCACCTGAGCGTTCAGAGGTCGCATATCTCGAGCCAGATCTAAATTACAAGTATTAGTTAAATCCTGCCAGGCCGGTGCTTAGCTTCGCAAGGTGAATATTTTGAAGGCCTAGCAACAAGGCATAAAATTTAGGACCGAAGCTCTTCCATCACACGCAAGAAGAAGAAGAGCTTGAAGAAATAGATTAATCACAATGAGTAAAGGGTTATTAACAGCTCTATTATCCCATTAGATGAAGAGTATATGGAGAGAAAAACTCAACAGAAAATATGCCTGCAAAATTTGCCCAAAAACACAGTCGAGGAGATTTTAATATTTATTCAAAAATTGTTTGTATGTTCTGTAAATGAATAGTCAAATAACATTAAAAACGGAGAAAACATAAGAAAACTTTTTAACGATGATATGAATAGATAACAAGGCTTGATTCTAATGTTTAGGTTATGATGGAAGCATCGCAGTTACTTCTCAAAAATCATTGGAGCGAGCCATGCTTCTTCCAAGAGAGTCCTTGAAATGTTTACATCTTTTATACATTATTGGAACCCCTAGTCTATTTTTCCATAACAAAATCTCAGTCATAATGTTTTGCCTAAAGCATAGCTCGTCAAAAACTCTTCATTAAATTTTACAAGTCAAAGACCGTTATCACAAATCCAAATTGCTTTTCCAGTGACCGATATATTCAGATTTTTTTTGTATTACAACGTGGTCTTGACATTAAGCTGCAAGTATTTTAAGACAAACTTTGCATGCTTCGCTATCAAGGAGCGTGATTTGTGAAGAGCCCCGGCAAGTTCAGCACTCCCACGCGCGACACAACTATTTTTGATGCAATTTTTTCAGACGACACGGAAGCTCAGCAGAGATGCCCGCTCCTCCAGCTTCTTCGGACTCGGGAATGGAATCGAAGCGTCACAAACTCTCGACTTTACACGACTAGTTGACAGCGAGATGAGGCGCTCAGTGTGATAACAGCCACGTGCATTATATGTGACGGAGAGCAAAGAATTGAAAAGGCCCAGGGTCGAACTTCGTTTTTTACATCGAGAGACTTTGAGGTTGTAATTTATTCGTAGAACGCAATTGTAGTTTGATATGCATTATTTGAAAATGGATTACTGTGCATGACATTCAATGAATATTTTGAACGTTCTCGGTTCCCTGTAGCAATACTTAATTCAGAATAATAGAGATTGAGTAGGGCATGAAATCGCCAAGGGTTTGCTTGTTTTTCCGACATAATAAGCAGCCTAGACCACAGAAAATAATTAAAACTCTTCGCTATAAGTAAAATAAATTGGGACTTTCAATCACAAAAAGTACTTCCACAATATTGGAAAACGCGATTATTACTCAAAACAACACACCAATAATTTTTAGAGCAAAATTCTTCTTTAAATTAGCCATATTTATTAAAGCAACGTCACCATGCATGAGGGGTTGCGTGACTGAGAGAATGAAACGCTCGTTCTAGCTGTCATTTTTTGTGGCGGCACCATCGATCAGCGACGTGGTAGAGGATAGAGACAGAAACAACGTCATGGCCAACATTGCCTCTTCCAAGTCCGCCTACAAACTGAAACTCGTTCCCTTGTCAAGATCAAATGATCTATCGAGCTACAACGTACTTGGAAATTCGTCCAAAATATCGAGAATGCATGCAAGTATTTGTTTAAGGTTGTCGCAGCGAGCGCCATCAGAGTGCGCCGGTAGCTTCTGAATTCATTTTTGCCAACAAGAATTAAATAGATATTCACGATATTTCTAGCCAAAAGGCAATATATATATATATATATATATAAAGTAATATACTGTATAATCATAATGGTTAGCACTTTGGACGCTGAATGCAATAATCCGAGTTCGAGTTTCGGAAGAACAAGGGAAGATTTTTTTTCGAAATTGTCTGCAATATTTAGTGGATTGCATTTTTTTACTGATGACGATCAATATGTGATGATGAAAATTATCGAGCAAATAAGAGAAAAAAGTTTCCAACAAATATTCATCACAAATGCAGGTATATCACGAGATAATCATGGCTTACATTCTACAAATGTTCGTCAATGATTCATTTCATAAAACAAATAAAACGACTACAAATTTTGTCTAAACAGTTATATACATTGTAATGTATGAATATAAAACTTTGCACAGCGTTCTTCATTTCTGGAAGCTTGAGTGCTACGAGTCGTACTAATCATTGCAAATAAGGAGGAAATAATTCATTGATAAAAAGAAGACAAATATTAAGCGAAAGCGCTCCATTTTACGCTTGGTCAACGAAGCGGCAAATCAAATAATAAAGTAAACATCAGGAAAAGAAAAACAAATAACGGGAATGTATTTCGGATGGATGAGCGTAATTTACAAAATTTAGTAATTTTAAACATTAGGGTACTGAGAACTTCAACATAAAATTGCAGGTAATTAGAACATAAGCATCAAAACATAGCTTGAATTTCAACGCCCCGAAATTATATTTAATTAAGAATGGGATATCGCAAAAGATAGTTAATCAGTTAATATCGTAATACGATAATTAGACTTCATAGCTAATCTGCAAGAACTAAATAATGTTCTGAATACAACAGAGGGGAAAAAAATTGCTACTAATTCGATGCGTTGGTAATATAATTTAATTATATTCGACAAATTATTCTACAAGTCATTAGTATTCATTCATTAATAGTTATTTGAAGGGCGGTAGAAAAATGTTCTGAATAAAACAGAGGGAAAATACATTTCTAATAATTCGGTGCGTTGGTAACATAATTTAATTATATTCGACAAATTATTCTTCAAGTCATTAGTAGTTATTTGAAGGGAGGTTATAAGGAAACTTACTAGCACGGGATGCAAGTCGACGCCATACATCTCCAGCCACTTGACCTTCTCCAGGTAGTTGAGTTCTGCTTTGGCCGGCACTTGCCCTCTGAAAACAAACGAGTATTACGTGAACATGTGAATAAAAATTTGTTTGTTTTTATGGATTGAAAACCGTTGATTGAAACGTGATATGCAAGAGGATAAACTAGTTTCAGTACAGTAAGCACTAGTAAGCTGGATAAAAGGGTGATTATTTGCATTCGATCAGCCTAGGAGTGAATATTCTAATCACGTTTATTTTAATAAATTTTTAAAGTTCTGAAATTGAAATATGTATTACCGTGAACGTCACACGCATAACCGCGACACATGAAAAATCACAAGGCTTTAAGTACTAGAAAGTGAGTTAAAAAACGAAGAAATAACAATCAAAATGGAGATGCAAGCAAACAGTGCATACTTGCAACTTTGAAGCAATTTTAGAATAAAATTTTCACTTCACAAAAATTAAGAATTCTTTGATTGTCTACATAGCAAAATAACCTGGAATTTTTTTTTCAGGGTTTTATTTCTACTCTCCACAAGTAGATCAATATTACATGGCAAGTAGGAAACTATACCTTAAACGCAATATCTTATACCTATCTTATCTTATGCAACCATTCGCGTATTCATTTATAGAATAAAAAAAATAATAATGATATGTGGCAATCGTGTTCAGCACGCAAGACGTTCACGTAGATATGAATAAATTCGAGTATTATTAATTCAACGAGGTCGATTGACTAGGTTCAATATTTAATCATGTTTTAAATTATATGAAATTATTTAAACAATGAAAAATGTAAAATATATTATAATCAGTATAAAAAATCACCATCATAGGCAAACCGTTAATACAAAAATCTTAATTTCATTACGCTGGAAAATTTAGGGGACGAAAAATCACCATCTAAAAATAATAACAACATGAATATGATAAATGCAACTACTTTAGAAGTCAAAAACGATACCATTCAATAGCTTTTTACCACAAATTGGTCACAAACTCGAACAAAACGATTACAGGTAAATTGCGCCTAGAGCTCCAAGCATCGCTGCCACCGAACAAGTTTTTGATGCATTGCTGAAATTAAGAGTCATTACAGGTAACTTTGTGAGGCCTAGAAGCGGCCACACCAACTTTACGAGTAAAAAAACTTCAAGCGGTCGAAGAACGTATCGACCTCCGCGGAACTTTTCTTAAAAAGTTCAGGCTGAAGCCAATAAGTGTTCGACGCAGAGCAGAAAACATTTCCGTTCATTTTGGTTACCAAAGCAAAAGAAACGAGAACTAAAGCGCAGGTTAATGCGGTTAGAGAAAATTGAATTACGAACGAAGCCTCTGTCCTAGTCCATTGATCTGTGAGTAAGGATTAAATTAGACTCTATATTAGTATTTCCTTACATTATCGACGACAATTATATCATATACGTACGTTAACAATATCATTATATCCCTAACGCATGTAAAGAAGTCAAGCAGTTAATAGTATTACCCTTAAAGGTGAGGTATAAAATTAGGACACAGAGCCAAAGATGGCATTTTAAATAATCAAAACTGATGAAATTTTAGTGGAATCACGTTTCAAGTTTTTAAATAAATAGTGTCAATGAAAAAGAAAAAAATTTTGTAAGAATAACTCGATTACGATTTTAATACGAGTATCTTGACAACTAATTTCGATCAACCATATGCACATTGAATTATCAACGTAAAAAATATTAGATAGTTATATTAAACCGCAACAATTTCGAAGTTGAACTTTATTCTTCCCAACGAATTTTTAGGAACAAAATACAACATAGTGAACGAATCAAAGGTAAAAATGTCGTTGGGCATTGAAAATATCCTAGACCGAAATTAAATGTTTGAAATATCGAATCACTGTTAAAATTAAGTTATATTGAACAAATTAAGAATTCATGGAAATTAATGACAAGCATAGGAGGATAAATAACATGACAAAATATACTTAAAGAGTCGGCTACTCATACATCGGTAAGGAAATAATTAAACTAAAAACTTACACTAATTTTTTGAACTAAACTTAAACTAAAAAAACTAATTTTTTAAACTAAACTTAAACTTTAAACTAAACTTGAAACTATTGAACACTAATTTTTAAACTAAACTTACAACTATTAAGCACTAATTTTTAAACTAAACTTAAAACTATTAAACACTAATTTTTAAATTAAACTTAAACTAAATTAAACTAAACTTACACTAATTTTTTATGAAGTTCGGCAATCTTCGACTCGAGCGCCACGGTCTGTCCAGCGATGAAGCGGAACTCTGAGACGTAGCCCGGAGAGTGTCTTCGGGGGTCGTAGTCCCCGAGCTCAGCTGTGAGGGAGGGGAGTAGTTTAATTAATTTAATTTATTAATTATTTAATTCAATCATTTAAAGAAATAAGTGAGACTTTGTTCACTAATTTTCCTATTATCAAGAACAATTAACGAATCACTATTTTGACATGAAGCGATACGTTTTCTGCCTTCGTACAGGTCATCCTCGCACACAATTTTGCCTGTTTAAAGGACGTATTAGTGCTCGTGATGTGGAGTAAAAAGTCTGTCAAAATTTGGACAATATGACCCGTTATTTTTTTTAGATTATGCAGAAATTGTGTGTTATGACAATTTGTTTTATTGTAACGGCACGATTTTCCCCATTATGATGGGCCATTTCCTCATTATGATGGGCCGCTACATTATGATATTAATTGGCGAGACTTTCTTATTTAAATAACACTAACTAAGTGTATTGTGTAGTCGAAAAAAACGTTAATGAGAAAAATTTTACCTCAATATTTTAAAATTTCATTAGATACATCCACCTCAGATGAACTTTTTAAAAGGAAAAAAATTTAGTAATAAACCAGAAATCAGAATGAAACAGCAAAATTCAATTTTCCGATAGATTATTTGGTTCACGAAGAGATTATCTGTCCATTTGAGAGACTCTTACTTTTTACATTGGCACCTTATTAGCAAATTAAAGGGGAAAATTTGCTCTATATGTTACTCGTAAATTTATTGTCACTGATAAATTAGAGAATTCATCACTCATGTAAATTCGATAAATTGTTCAAAATTGAATGGATACATTTTGGAATGGGCTCGGAAATTTACCGTAACTTGAGCGAGATTACTATAGTTCATGCAGCGAGACAAAAATTACTGATAAAATTAAATTAAATCCCTGCGTGTAAATTGAGAAATCTATAATTGAGAAATATTTTTCAATAATAAAAAAATATAAAAATGACCCAAAGAAAAATCATGACACAAAAATAGTCCTAATTTTTGGTTGACTTGTAAAGCAATCTATATGCTGTACAAGCAATAAATTCATGAACTTCGTATTCAATCTGTTATTCGAAAGAAAAATTTTGTAAGTTGAGAAGAAAACACAAATGCTCTACGGCACGAGATGTAGAATGCCTTCCACTCTACAGGTAATCTAAAGCAGAAATAATTGCTGAAGATAGTCAATGCGAATTTCATGCATGGTAAATTCTGAAATAAAATATCAGCTTTCTAACGTACAGAGAATTGACGAAATGAATATCGTTTACTCCATCAAAAAAGTTTGAAAGTTCCGCAGATATTTATCCAAAAGAATTCACTTCAGGTCATCTGACATTTTGCGAGGCTGTAAGTAAAATTTAATTTGATCCAATAATTATTATACCACATCATTTCACATTATGATAACGCAATAGTTCCATAAGAAATATAAGCACTGTTCACTACTTTATAGTTTCAGCCGCGGCGGTAGAGGGCGCGATGTATGGGGAAGAGTAACGGCCGTTTTTGAGCAAGAAAAAAAAATGCAGGCGTTAAAGTTGGTGTGATGGTAGGCTTCCCTGTATTTATTACCTCCTCCATTGCGAACATTGCTGGCAAATTTGCGTAGTAAGCAATTTAAACGGCCATTATTTTCGGCAATATATTAGCGTGGCCAGATTGGGGAGTGCTACCAAACTTGATGACGCTGAAAGTGCGGTTACATCACATGCAGGTACGATGCGACGACCTGGGCGATAGAAAAAAAGATGCTGTAACCCGCCTCAGATTCACTTCCCGTCCATTGCAAAAACTTGTCTTAAGTAGAATTTGTTTCTCCACATGATCGGGCTAGCGGTAACGTAAACAGGTGGAGGCGAATCGTCTTTCATGATACGGAAGTAATCAGCTTGGAAACTAAAGAACATACAATTCAGTGAATTTTTCAGATCACGAGTGAATTATGGAAAAAAATTCGGCAAATTTGGTAACAAATTTTATTTTAAATTAGAAAAAAAATCAGCGACACAATGATTTGTCAATGATCTGAGCCCATTTGAATAGAAAAAATAACATAACAATAAAAAATTCTGTTCATAATAATTTATGTTTCATTTAAATAAGACTTACTTTATTCACGGAAAAATCCGCTGAGATAAGTCGAACCCTACTTTTCGTTTGCATTGGCGAAAATACAATAGAATTCTCCGCATATATGCGAACTTTGAATAGAAATAAATTATCAGACTGAAACAAATTCATCCTGTATGACAATTGAGACTAGAAAACGTCATATTACTCAAAAAAATTCCTACAATAAACTGACATGATCAAAAATATCAAGCAAATTATTTATGGCGATCAATTCTCGACGCTCGATCCTACTTGGTTAAGCGCCAAATTTTCAATATTTGAGTCTAGGTGTTGCAGGATGGCGATGTGATGCAAATGCAGTGCCATGCACGGCAAGACGCCATTAGCAACCTCGTTGGCATGACTCGCAAATGACAATTTCCATTCACTGGCACTTCAAGTTGTTACCGAAACGCCCATACAATGGCCAAGCTAAAATTCAATGAAGATAAGAGCACACGATAGGCTGTGATGGCAGATCAGAATGTTGCAGGGAGGAGTTCAGCGGCTAGGCTTCTTGCTGTATCCTTCACAAGCTTATCAGGAACATTGGTCGCTGCTTTTATGGAGCTCAATTGATGCTGGAATCAAGTGCACCTAAAATACTGCGACACTTACGACGCCTCGGTCTGTCGGGGACATTGTACAGCCTCAGAGAGCAAAGGCAGTATTGCCGAAAATTTCTCCGATGAGCTAGTATTTTTCAAGACAATCGTACCTCCGAGAAACAATTCTGCATTTCTATGCCAGAAAAGTTTTTTATAGCGCTATTTGAATGATAAACTCTTAAAGTGAACAGAAAATAGTAGTAATAGGTTAATATGCAAATTCTAGGAGAATCGAGGATTTAAAATTTTTTCTTCATAAACCTTTTACTCTCATCACTGAAAAGGGCATATAATCGCTGCGATACTTCTATCTAGTTCGCCTTATAATTACTGATGGACAAACATTCTGATGATTAACACACATTTTGATTACTGATGATTCAATAAACTGATGCACATTCAATTGGCTTCAGTTTAAATACATTTCTCATCATGCATACAACGATTACCTCTTTCCGTCAACATATACCTCATTCGGTTCAAGTAAATGCAGTGTGTGGATTGTAAGCTGGGCGAAATTGGTAAGACATTTGTTTAGTACGTAAGATATATTGAATTATAAAATTAAAGTTTATTTTTAAGTGTTGAAGAGGTAGTCTTCCCTTGTTGGGACATGAGACATAGGTAGAGCGCACTCGTCTAACCAATTGATGATACCTTCTAGAGTTATCGGCCAAGCAAATTTGGAACCGTTTCCGATTCGTGAACCTGAGTTTGGAAGTAGAATTCCAGCCAGCCTTCGAGAGGTGACTTGTCCTGCGGTGCACAGCGGGCGTACGCAGTTAAATCAACGCCGACATGAATGAGCTTGGTGCTCGGGATACCAGAATGAAAAACAGAAGAATGGATTCGTAGATTTCACCTACTAGAATTTAAAATTAAAATATGAACTTAGGAGAAAAGGTTTTTGTTATAAATGTAGTTATTAAAATTGTTATTATTTATAATGAGGGAGTAAAACTGTAATAGGAAATCTATAACATTAGATAGAAGTGATCTGATACGAGCTATGGTTTCCCAGGATGCTAAATGATTAATACCTAGGCTATAGTTTTCGACACTCAAAATTTTACAATAATAAGAAATTTTATCCGTAGAGATGAAAAATTTTCAGTATGAAATGTGATCCAAGGATAGATTTTGAAATGTAAATATTAATGGATGCAAAATAACTCACATTGAACAGCATAGGATCCGAGCTCGGCAGCGAGCTCTAGGGAGACGGGAAGGCGCCCCTGCAGAATGTCCTGCTTCACTTGAAGAAAAAACTGGTACCTGCTCAATAAAAAATAAATTATTTAATGTATATGACATTAAAATAAAGTTTTGAAGAACATGATACTTGCACAAAACAATTCATGTGTAATGTTCTGCGACATTAAAAAACGTTTTAATAACTGGCATGTGCGTAATACATAAAATGTTCTATAGCTTACAAAATTCGAACTATTTTTGTAAGAACTGGTATTTACGCAGTACAAAAAATTAAATGAATTGGAAAAAAATTCAATTTCTTCAATTTAGAAATTTTTAAATTACACAAACCTTGAAAAAATTAATACCTGCTCAATAGAAAAAATGCTTCAAAGTTCACGCGTTTTTCGGCGCATCAGAGAAATAATTTTGGCTGCGTGCTACGACATTGCTTACGCTTCACATAATGCGCACATGATGAGGTTTCTGCTTCAGAAACATGAATAAATCATACAATGTGATTATTCAAATAATTGTCAAAAGTACTTGAAAGGAAACCATCAAATCAATAATTTTCTCGCGGTAGTTAGGCGGCCGATCAACTTTTGAAGTGATATCAATTTGATCTGTGCAGAAACTGCTTATTGTTCTTCGCACATTACCGGCCTGAACCGAATGGAATAATTTATTTTACGGTAATCGATTGCTTAGTTACAAATAAACCAATCTTTTACACGATGCTTGCATCTGACTTCTGATGTAATTAATAAAAACCTGTACAAAAACATTTCAATTTTGAATTTATTTTAGGCCCAAGAAAACTATAGGCAGTGGTTTGAAAAAATGATTTCAACTTCGTGATCATTTTCTCATTCAAATTAATGAAAAGCTGAAAATTTGAAATTTTCTCGTCAGCTAATATCAATCCTTAGCAATCTTAATTTTTTCATAATTATTCAGATGAAGTTTGCCGTACCACTGAAATTTATCATCATTCATCTCCCCTATACAGTGATGATTTATTCACATTATGGACACTTTACCCGATTTTCTTCACTATAAATTTATAGCTTAGTAATTTAAGTTATTAGCGTCAGTAGTTTGAGAGACGCGTCAAATAAAAAAAACGTTACTCCATTCCTCCAAAATTTTAGAGCAACTTTATTAGATAAAGAATTTATAATATGTACACAGATGTAGCGATTTCTGGGTGCAACAGCTGAAGATTTGATTTATTCTAGTAAAACATGGAAATTGAAAATTCTTTGCAAATGCATCCCAACATAATTATATTATCCATGTAAAATAAAAATTTATTCGTTTTTAAAGTTGCTGATTTATGACATATATTTATTAATTTCCTTCACTTTCTTTGCTGAAGGAAAGAAGATATCTTAGTCGATTTTTCAAACTAACCGATTCCAGAAATTAAGGACAAAAATACGGTCGACAATCCGGAGCCATGGTCCGCAAGCACGACACCGCCGTTCCCGACAGCGTTCACGAAAGCTTCAGACGATAAATGAAGATTTCTCTTCGAATAATTTCCACTTTAACGATAATTGAGTGTCGTAAATAAGTCCGATATCAGCCGGAACCTTGCCCGGGATTCATTTCCGAGAGCCTTTCTACCCCGTATTGGTCAGCAGGTACGGGGACAAATAGTGCACGGGCTTAACTGTGATTAATTTGTGCAATGCAATAAAATGTAATAAGCCTACAAACGATTTCGATGAATCAATTTTGCAACTAGAAGTTCTGTAAAACGAATTATGAATTTTTTACCATTTTAAAATTTTTCCCTGAGCCGCATATATTTTTTGTGATGCTCATCGATTTGAAACATTTCCCCTACCGGAAGTAAAGGATTTGCTTAATTTAACTTCAGTAAAAAATTTTTTAATAATTAACTCGGAAATTTTCTACTTGCAATCTATAATCAAAATGAGTAATTTTGCAACGTGATAAACAGTATCGTAAACTTTTTAATCAAAGATACTGATGTGCGAAACACCAATTTCAGACTTGCCTGATAAAAACGTAGGGACCAGCATATTTAAAAATACTTTCATGGTGGAGTTTTAGTTAAATACGTCACATAGCAACAACGATGGTAACATAGAAAAGAAATAGCTGACACTTTCTTCTTCCTCAATAGCGGGGCAAGACCTCAATACCAGTACAAAAATTGTCCATAGATAAATTTTCATTAAATAAGAAAATTATAATAGAACGGATTTTGAATATCTATCAGGTCAAAACGGATCGAATGAAAATGGTCAGTTCAGAGAATTGCCTCAGGAATTATGCCCTTATTGAGAAGGCGAAAAGCATTCCGGAAATACCTCGACGCAACCCGCGTCTTGAGCGCGTAATGAAAGGTCATGAGACCTTTGGTGGTCAGCTGGCCGAACTTGTGAAGGTAAATACAAAATTGTAGCGGAGAAAATAAGAATATAAAGTTTGCTGTAATTCAGTGAAATACGGACTAATGATGCGAATGATATTCATGTGATAATTCACATGTGAATGCCAGTGATGTACAATGCCAGTGATGGCATTGCAACTAAGCCACAGTGAATGCCAGTGATGCGAATGATACAGATGTGAATGATCCCGATGTGAATAATAATGTGAATGATCACGTTTAAAATATTTGATACTTGATGAAATTGTGAAAGTTTTATTGATGGGAAATTACTGTTTGTGCATTAACAAAATAAATTATAAAACCAACTAAATTTAAAAAACAATCTATAAAATATTTTTATAAATAGAATTGAAGTTGAATTATAGTACAGAATAAATAATATTGTATATAAATGGAATTGAAGAATTGAAACTTTCTCATGAAGAAAAATGAAACTCTTACACGATGATAAGTTGAGCTTTTTAGTGCAAAACCGTACCTGATTTAGTCGAGGCTAGCAATTCTGTTTTGAGCGCAAAACATTTAAGAGCTAAAGGCAGGATGTCATTGTCCAAATAAGACTAGCTATTAGTGATTAGTGTAATTGCGAATTAAATGGCGTCTACGCGAATAGAATTTAAAATTTCTGCAGCAAAATATGGGTTTAATATATTTACACTATTAACAAAAAATATATTATTGCACACAACTCAAACAAATTACAAAAGCTGTGAACATTTCAGGGCAACAATGACATAAAAATATACACAAGGTTGGCAGCAAGGAAAAATCATAATTAATATTTAGATCTATCGGATCTATAATATATAATATTGTAAAGGTCACAATATTACTGTAAAAGTTTTCAGAATTTGTGTACATTGAAATACCTTACATCTTGCTCTTCTCTACTCTCTGCTCTTATAGCAATTACCTGTGATTGCATTACCACCAAATGTTACCGCTAAATGTAGTTACCTAACGCCAGCCTATCAACCTGTTGAATAGCATCCTAGAAATTCATTTGCCGATATATTGACCGCAACTAAGCCACCGATTCATCGCTCATATATTCTTACAAGTCTGAACTTCATGAAGTTAATTTTGCCGGTTTTAAAAATGACCGCCGAAGTCTGAAGAGCCGCGAGCGAAACGTGTTCTACTCCTCCCACTGAGGTCCAAAAACCATCAATATTTCTGGTACCTGAAAAGACCGTACACACGAAGCTGCCTTGTGAAGACATAAATGGAGAACACGGCCGCTCCTCAACACATCTGGGTTGCCACAGCCTTAGGACCATCACAGTGCGATATGATCATACTTATCACAATGTACACAGACTGCCATTCGAAAAAGTCATCGAAAAGTACCAAAGGCTCTTAATAAACAAATACGGATAATATATGCACGGACAGTGCAGACATAGATTTTTTCTTCGTTAGTCGGAAGATTTTTCCAACTTTTGGGCAGAACCGTAAGAGAATTTCTCTGAAGTTGCCTCTTCTCTACGAAAATTTCTCTGAAGTTGCCTCTTCTCTACAGAAATTTAGTGCCAATGATTGTGATTTTCCTCAAAATGGAAGACGTTAGTCGTTCTCAATATAGAAACAACAAAAAATAGCGTTAAGTCCCAAAAAATTCATGCGAGTTAGGTAAAAATAGTTCTACAAATTTTCACTGTACGTGTGAATTCGCAACATCGAAAAAGTCGGCTCCTCTGAAGTAAGAGGTGACGCATAACCAGTTTAGACGAACCTGGCGCCGCTGGGTTTATCAAAATCAAGGCAGGGAATTAAGTCGTCTTAATCTTGTAGCATTTATTGCAGCCAGAATGAGCTAATAAGACTTGAACGTTCGGCAAACATAGAGACTGGGAACTGACGACTGAGTACGAACTTCATGGGGCATGAAACAGTGAAGGAATAAATTAAAAGGAGATACATTTTCTAAAAAAAAAATACATCAAGTATGTTATTGTTGGAATTCATAGAGAAGAACTGCAAATTACTCGATTTAAACCATTCAAAGAGAATAAAGAATGGAAAGAAAAATTTTCTCGGGGCGAAAATTCCAGGATACACTTTGAGTGAGTTGTATCTTGAATTAGGTTGCCTAGAAGGCCTCAAGTGTGTTCGTAGCCCAGGGCAAAGAAAGGCAAGGCAGGCAGGAACATAAACCATGAACAACGCTTTTGAAGAATTGTTTACCGAGCAAGTTCAAGCTCGAAATCAAGTGGGAGTAGTGCAAGTCTGCCTTGATGGTTACACAGGCAAACAATGCGAGCGAGCAAAGCGCGAGCAACGCACAAAAAGTCGAATTTGTCTGCTTGAATTTTTTAATATAAATGAGGAACTAGCATTAGAAGTTTACCAAAAATTTGCATTACTCAGGTAAGTAGCATTGAGCAGGAACTTAGTAACAAAGACTCAATTTATTACTAAATTAGTCAAGTAGTATACAATTTGTAAGTCGAGTTTAACATTCATAAGTCGAGTATACAATTTGTAAGTTAAGTATACAATTTGTAAATCAAGTATGCAATTTGCATGCCAGTCAAGTATACAATTTGTAAGTTAAGTATATAATTTGTAACTTACTCGATTTTTTGAACAGAAATCTTCAGTAAGGAAACTTGACAAAAATTCCGTTTCACAGAGCATCTTCATGAAG